GACAGGCAGAGGTCTGTCAAGGATGGCGGTCGTGGAGGAGGTCGACGTCGGGAATGCTGGCTGTGCGGCGATCCCGATCACCTCTCCTTCGAGTGCCCCGACCGCAGCGATTCCGACGACGACGCGAAGGGAGGCCGCGGAAGTTCCGGCAGCCGTCGTCCGCGTCGAGGAAACCAACCGCGAAAAGAAATGAACCAACCGGCTTGCGCATGTTGGCATGGACACGATACGGAGCTCGGCGAAGCACGAGGTCACCACTGGGCTAGACCTCACGTCGGCGTCTGGCGCCGACTCCCCGTGTGTTTCGTGAGTCGGCGGGAAGCTGGCGCGGCACACCTTCCCCGACCACGGCTCCGAAGCCGACGATGTCCTGGCCGTCGTGCACATTGACTTGTGCGGGCCATTTCGCGTGGCTGCCAAGGACGGAAGCCTGTACTTCCTGCTGCTGAAGGACCGCAAGACCCGCTACATGTGGGTGCGGCCGGTCGCCAAAAAGTCGGACGTGCTGCTGGAGTTCTAGAAGTGGTTGGTGCTGGTGGAGCGGCAGGCGAAGCATTCGGTGCTGCAACTGCGCTCTGATCGCGGAGGGGAGTTCCTCGGCAAGGACTTCACTGCCTTCGTGGACAGCAAAGGCATCGTCCACGACTTGACATGCCCCTACACCCCGCAGCAGAATGGCATGGCGGAGCGGGAGACGAGGACGGTGGTGGAGTCAGTGCGGACGATGCTGCTGCACATGGGCGTGCAGCAACACTGGTGGCATCTCGCTCTGCGGCAGGCCGTCTGGGTTCGCAACTGCCTGGAGCGGTCGACGCTGCCCGCGGGGACGACGCCGTACCAGCTTCTCACCAGGCAGAAGCCAGACCTGTCACTGGCACGGGTGTGGGGCTGCATGGCACAATTTCTCGTCCCTGAGCAGCAGCGCGGTGGGAAGCTGAAGCCGAAGGCCCGGTGGGGCCTTCACCTCGGCGTGTCGGAGGAGAGCAAAGGCTGGGAGCTCCTCGACCTCGCCGACAATCAAGTGGTCACCACGTCGGACGTGGTGTTCTACGAAACTCTGTCGCTGGAGGTGTGGAAGTCGGAATTCGGGCCCGCGTCGGGGCGGACGCGGGCCAACCCGCCGACGGACACCGCGGAGGAGAGCGCGAAGGACACCGCGAAAGACACCGCGAAAACCGCAAAGGGGACCGCGGACGAGACCGCGGAGGAGATCGCGGAGGAGACCGCGAAGAAGCCCACGGAAGAAACCGCGGAGCTCGCATTAGAGGAGCGGACGACAGGGGAGCAGTCGAACGCGGAGCATGCTTCAGAGGAGCGGACGACAAGGGAGCAGTTCGATGAAGGCACATCGAGCGACGTGGTGGAGGTGCAGCCCGGACCTCGGAAGTCGGGCCGAATTCGGAGGCCACCCGACTTCTTCGTCCCCACTGCCTTCACCACGGTCTACGATGTGGACGACGACGACCTGGCGTACGATGACACCGAGGACAATGAGGCGTTTTCGGAGCTCGACCCCGACATGCACGCCGATCCCGAGCACCGTTGGGACATTTCGACCATGACGGTGAAGGAGGCGTTGGCGAGCTGGAAGGGCCTGGCGGTGAAGGCCGCCATGGAGGAAGAGATTCGTAGCTTCATCAACATGGGCACTTGGGAGCTGGTCGAACGCCCGCCGGGGGTGAACATGATGAAGAACCGGTGGGTGCTGACAACGAAGTACCGCATCGACGACACTGTCGAGCGCGAAAAGGCGAGGCTGGTCGTGAAAGGCTTCACGCAGGTGTATGGCACTGACTACGACGAGACGTATGCGCCGGTGAGCAGCTACGTCACGCTGAGGATTTTCCTCAGCATCGTCGCTGTCCTCGACCTCAAACCTGATGCAGCTGGACATGAAGAACGCTTTTTTGCAGAGCAAGCTCGACCGCGTGCTGTACATGTACCAGCCGGACTACTTCAACGATTGAACCGGCCGGGTGTGCAAGCTGCTGAAGAGCCTCTATGGGCTGAAGCAGTCGCCGCTGCTGTGGTACACGGCTCTCAACGACGTGTTGGTTGGCGCCGGGTGGAAGAAGAGCCAAGTCGAGGAGGCTTTGTACTTCAAGGCCGGAGACGACAAGGTGACCTGCTAGGTGCTGGTCTATGTCGACGACCTTCTCGCCGCGAGCAGCAGCACCGTGATGCTGAAGGAGTTGAAGGAGCAGCTGGAGGCCCGCTTTCGAGCTGCGCGAAATTTCGCCGGTGCATAAGTATCTTGGCCTGGAGATCGTGCGCGGCAGGCCTCGCGAAAACTGTGGCTGCACCAGCAGGGCTACGCCGACAAGCTGCGCAGGCGCTTCATCGACGAGGAGCAGACCAGGCGCACTTCGAAGACGCCGGTCTCTGTCGCACCTACGCGGAGCAGACATTCGACGACGAGGAGGCGCAGGAGCGCGAGGAGGAGGAGTACCGGCAGAAGGTCGGCTCGCTGCAGTTCGCGGCGACGACGACGAGGGCCGGACATCGCGTTCGCGTGCAGCAAGTTGGGGAGCGGCCTTACGGCGAGGAGTGACCAGCACTGGCGCGAAGTCGACCGCTGCCTCGCCTACCTCGCCAACACGCGAGACACCGCCCTGGAGTACGGTGGTGGTCTGGAGTCACTGGAGTTGGTCGGCTTCGTGGACGCCGACGACGCGGGCGACAAGCAGAACCGGATGAGCACGGGCGGCTACGTGTTCGTCTACGGAGGGGCCGCGGTCTCCTGGTTGAGCCAGCGCATCAAGTGCGCGACGCTGTCGTCGACCGAGTCGGAGTACGTGGCGGCCGTCGAAGCCGGCAAGGAGGGACGTTGCCTTCGTTTCCTCCTCGCGGAGTTCCAGCGGCTGGACGCCGGAAAGCCGACAGTCCTCAGGGTGGACAACAAGTCGGCCATCACGGTCGGCGAGGGCATGGGGTTAACGGGCAACCTCAAGCACATGGAACGGCGACAGGCCTGGCTGCAGCACATGGCGAAGCACGGGAAGTTTTCGCTGAAGTACATCCCGACCGCTGAGCAGCCGGCCGACTTCCTTACGAAGGCGCTGCACTACCCGGCCTTCAAACCGGTGCTCCGTTGCAATCGGCCAAGTGCGCCTGGCCCATGTGGGCGACGGAGACAACGACGTGCAGCAGTAGGTGCCATGCCTTTTTGCATGGCTGGTGCGGTGACCGGCGTGCTGTGCGTTGTGTGCACGCCGACGGGCTATTCTCCGAGCAGTACTGCCGTGTGGGCCGGGGGGGGGGGCCCAAGCGTGAACGCGGCAGGGGAGTGTCAACGGGAGTTGTGTTTGGCCCCGTCCTCGCTTGGGCGGAGCCGACCGTGGGAGCCACGAAATCGCGGTGGACCGTGGGAGCCACGAAATCGCGGTGGACCGTGGGAGCCACGAAATCGCGGTGGACCGTGGGAGCCACGAAATCGCGGGGGACCGCGGGAGCCACGAAATCGCGGGGGACCGTGGAGCCACGAAACCTCGGAGGACCGCGGTGGCCAAGAAACCGCGGGAGGACCGCGAAATACCCGGTCAACCAGGATACCCAGGCGACGTGCGCGAAAGTCGCCAGGGATGTTGTCTGCGAGGACGACCTCGGGGGTGTATCCCGAGGTCGACGTGGCTGGTGGGCGCCGTCACGGGTGAAGTGTCTGCGCTGGGCATGTGACGGGGAGTTGGGCGCCAACCAGCTGCACGCACCTGCGAAGCTGGTGCACCATTGTCAGGCGGGTGCAACGTTGTGCAGCCGACTTACTGCAGCGTTGGCACACCGCGGACGGGCAACGTTGGCAAGCCGCGACTCTGCTCTGCAGGAGCGCGGTCGACCAAGTCGGGCTGGCACGCGGTCGACCGTGCTGCGCTAGCAGTAGACCAGCAGCCTTGCTAGGTCTGATGTAGTCAGTGTTGCCAATGTTGATGCAATCATTCTGAACTTTTGTTGTCATGTTTTCCTAGTGAAACTCTTGCCGATTTTCCCCGTGAACTAGCAAGCAGTGTTTCGACTAAGGAACGAACGAACGCTACGATCACTCTTGCCTAGTGCCTAGCCCGCAGTCTAGCTCCCGTTGCACTAGTTATCTCCGCACAGGCCAGTTGATCGAACCAGTCCAATGGACAACAAGCCAGTTGATCCAACCGTCCATTGGACCAACAGGCCAGTTGATCCAACCGGTCCATTGGACCAACAGGCCAGTTGATCCAACCGGTCCATTGGACCAACAGGCCAGTTGATCCAACCGGTCCAATGGACCAACAAGCCAATGGTCCAACCAGTCCATTGGACCAACAGGCCAGTTGGTCCAACCGGTCCATTGGACAAAACCGACCAGTTGGTCCAACCGGTCCATTGTACCAACTGGTCCATTTCACCAACAGACGAGTTTGTCCAGCAAGTCCATTGGACCAACAGGCCATTTGGTCGAACCGGTCCATTGGACTAACAAGCCAATGATGCAACCGGTCCATTGGACCAACAGGCCAGTTGATCCAACCGGTCCATCGGACCAACAGGCCAGTTGGTCCAAACCGGTCCATCGGACCAAGAGGCCAGTTGATCCAACCGGTCCATTGGACCAACAGGCCAATGGTCCAACCGGTCCATTGGACCAACAGGCCAGTTGGTCCAACCGGTCCATCGGACCAACAGGCCAGTTGGTCCAACCGGTCCATCGGACCAACAGGCCAGTTGGTCCAACCGGTCCATCGGACCAACAGGCCAGTTGGTCCAACCGGTCCATTGGACCAACAAGACAGTTGGTTCAACCGGTCCATAGGACCAATAGCCCAGTTGATCGAAGCGGTCCTTCGCACCAACAGACCGCCAGTTGGTCTAACAGGTCCATTGGACCAACAGGCTATTTGGTCAAAGCGGTCCATTTGACCAACAGACCAGTTGGTCCAACCGGTCCATCGGACCAACAGGCCAGTTGGTCCAACTGGTCCATAGGACCAATAGGCCACTTGGTCCAACCGGTCCATTGGACCAACAGGCCAATGATCCAACCGGTCCATTGGACGAACAGGCCCGTTGGTCCAACCGGTCCATTGGACCAACAGGCCAGTTGGTCGAACCGGTTCATTCGACCAACAGGCCAGTTGGTCCAACCGGTCCATCGGACCAACAGGCCAGTTGGTCCAACCGGTCCATCGGACCAACAGGCCAGTTGGTCCAACCCGTCTATCAGACCAACTGGCCAGTTGGTCCGATCGGTCCATCGGACCAACAGGCCAGTTGGTCCAAGCGGTCCATTTGACCAAGAAACCGGTTGGTCCAACCGGTCCATTGGACCAACAGGCCAGTTGGTCCAACCGGTCCATTGGACCAAAGGGCCAGTTGGTCCAACCGGTGCATCAGACCAACAGGCCAGTTGGTCCAACCGGTCCATAGGACCAATAGGCCAGTTGATCCAACCGGTCCATTGGACCAACAAGCCTGTTGGTCAAACCGGTCCATTGGACCAACAGGCCAGTTGGTCGAACTGGTTCATTCGACCAACAGGCCTGTTGGTCCAACCGGTCCATCGGACCAACTGGCCAGTTGGTCCAACCGGTCCATAGGACAAAACATGCTAGTTGGTCCAACCGGTCCATCACACCAACAGATAGTTGATCCAACCGGTCCATCGGACCAACAGGCCAGTTGATCCAACCGGTCCCTTGGACCCACAGGCTAGTTGGTTCAACCGGTCCATAGGACAAATAGGCCAGTTGATCCAACCGGGCCTTTGCACCAACCGACCGCTAGTTGGTCCAAAAGGTCCATTGGACCAACAGGCCAGTTGGTCCAAGTGATCCATTTGACCAACAGACTAGTTGGTCCAACCGGTCCATTGGACCAACAGGCCAGTTGGTCCAACCGGTCCATTGGACCAAAAGGCCAGTTGGTCCAACCGGTCCATCGGACCAACAGGCCAGTTGGTCCAACCGGTTCAGCCTCTTCCCTCCTCCCCCCCTGCCCTTTGCTTTCCCCTCGTTACGCTCCCTTCTCCCCATCCCTGCTGCCCTCTTGCCACCATCAGCCCATCCGCACCACCAGCCCCCTCCCACCCTTCTCTCCCCCCCTGCCTTTCCCTCTCTCTCTCTCTCTCTCTTTCTCACACACACACGCACACTCCCCTCCCCCACCCCCCACCCACGTCCTCCCATTCCGCCCCTCCTTGCCCCTTTCCCACCCCCTCGCACGCCCCTCACCTCCCACCTCCGTGCAACTGGTTTCCCCCCTATGGTGCCTCCCTTGCATCGCTCGCCCCTCTGCTCACCCTTTGCCCGCCCCTTTTCCGTGCCCTCAGCTGGCCCAGCCCCTGCCCGTTGCTGCCCCTCCCCTTGCCCCCTCAACTCCCCTGCCCCCCGTACACCCCAGTCCCATCCAACCGCCCCCACCCTCCCCCGGCTGCCCGTTTCCGCTCTCCACCCCCGCGACCGTGTGCAGGCTTCCAACCGCCCAACGGTTGTGCGCACGGGGCGTTTCTTCGCACGGGCAAGCCTCCCCGGGGGGCCCCCACCCCGCTGAGTCGTTGTTCGGGGTATATATGTGTTGCTCACTCTTTTCTTTTTCCTACTACTTCTTACTCCTTAATTCTTCCTTCTTCTTCTTTCTTTCCCCATCTTCCTACAAGATATATATACCGTCCTCATAGCGAATTAGTTATGCCAAAATTTCCCACTCTTGGAAAAACCATTATAATCGGCTTGTATTTGCTTTCCCTTATTAATAAATAACTGCTCTCGCCCACCGGCGCTTAGCTTCGGAGTTCTGATGGGATCCGGCGTAGTAGCCGAGGTATGATCGTACCACGTCAATCCCGTGCCCCGACCGGTACACACCCCTTGCCCGGGTCCCCCCTTCATAGTCACACCCCCTGCCCCCTCATGCCATCCGCTCCCCCCGCCCCCACCCTCCGCGTGCCCGCTCCCTTGCCGCCTCTTTTGACCCTCCCTGCCCCCCTCGCCGTTTCCCACCACCCGCCATTCGCTCCTCCCCGCCCGTGCGCTCCCCTCGTTTACCTTCTCCTCCCCCCTCCCCTCCTCTGCTGCACGCCTCTTCCTTCCCCTCGCCGACCCACTCCACTCCCTGCCCCTCCTCAATCCGCACCCTGCCCCTCGTATCTCGCCCCCCTATGCTTGGTTTCTCCCCTCCCTGCCCCTCGCCGCCTTTCTCCGCTCCCCACCTCCCCTCTCTCCCTGCCCCTCCACTCTCCCCCCCTTGCCCTTGGCTTCCTACCTCCCTGCCCCACCTTTTCCCCCCTCCGTGTGCTCAGCTTCTCCCCTCCCTGCCCCTCCCTCCTCCCCTGCCCTGCCCCTCATTTTCCGCCCCCCCACGCCCGGTTTCTCCCCTCCCCGCGCCTCCCTTTCTTTCTCCGTGCCTCTCCTTTGCTCCCTCCCTGCCCCCGCCTGCCCTATGCCCCTGTCTTTGGCTTCTCCCCTCCCTGCCCCACGTTTCTTCCCTCCCTGCCCCCCCTCTGCCCCTCCCTTGTTTTCCCCTCACCCATTGCTTCTCCCCTCCCTGCCCTTGATTTCCCGCACCCCTGCCCTTGTTTCCTACCATCCATGCCCCTCGTTTCCCCCCTTTGTACGTTCAGCCTCTTCCCTCCCTGCCCCTCCCCTCCTCCCCCCCTGCCCTTTGCGTTCCCCTCGTTACGCTCCCTTCTCCCCATCCCTGCTGCCCTCTTGCCACCATCAGCCCATCCGCACCACCAGCCCCCCTCCCACCCTTCTCTCCCCCCCTCCCTTTCCCTCTCTCTCTCTCTCTCTCTCTCTCTCTTTCTCACACACACACGCACACTCCCCTCCCCCACCCCCCACCCACGTCCTCCCATTCCGCCCCTCCCTGCCCCTTTCCCACCCCCTCGCACGCCCCTCACCTCCCACCTCCGTGCAACTGGTTTCCCCCCTATGGTGCCTCCCTTGCATCGCTCGCCCCTCTGCTCACCCTCTGCCCGCCCCTTTTCCGTGCCCTCAGCTGGCCCAGCCCCTGCCCGTTGCTGCCCCTCCCCTTGCCCCCTCAACTCCCCTGCCCCCCGTACACCCCAGTCCCATCCAACCGCCCCCACCCTCCCCCGGCTGCCCGTTTCCGCTCTCCACCCCCGCGACCGTGTGCGGCTTCCAACCGCCCAACGGTGGTGCGCACGGGGCGTTTCTTCGCACGGGCAAGCCTCCCCGGGGGGCCCCCACCCCGCTGAGTCGTTGTTTGGGCAAAAAAAACGAAAATAAAAAAAATCGGACGCGCTAAAATCGTCCTTTCTTTTTCCCGCTTGCCCCTCCCCCGGCACGTGCCGAGCAAGGGGCATAAATGGGTACAACACGAGGACTTCCCGGGAGGTCACCCAGCCCAGTACTGCTCTCGCCCACCGGCGCTTAGCTTCGGAGTTCTGATGGGATCCGGCGTAGTAGCCGAGGTATGATCGTACCACGTCAATCCCGTGCCCCGACCGGTACACACCCCTTGCCCGGGTCCCCCCTTCATAGTCACACCCCCTGCCTCCTCATGCCATCCGCTCCCCCCCGCCCCCACCCTCCGCGTGCCCGCTCCCTTGCCGCCTCTTTTGACCCTCCCTGCCCCCCTCGCCGTTTCCCACCGCCCGCCATTCGCTCCTCCCCGCCCGTGCGCTCCCCTCGTTTACCTTCTCCTCCCCCCTCCCCTCCTCTGCTGCACGCCTCTTCCTTCCCCTCGCCGACCCACTCCACTCCCTGCCCCTCCTCAATCCGCACCCTGCCCCTCGTATCTCGCCCCCCTATGCTTGGTTTCTCCCCTCCCTGCCCCTCGCCGCCTTTCTCCGCTCCCCACCTCCCCCCTCTCCCTGCTCCCCCACTCTCCCCCCCTTGCCCTTGGCTTCCTACCTCCCTGCCCCACCTTTCCCCCCTCCGTGTGCTCAGCTTCTCCCCTCCCTGCCCCTCCCTCCTCCCCGCCCTGCCCCTCATTTTCCGCCCCCCCACGCCCGGTTTCTCCCCTCCCCGCGCCTCCCTTTCTTTCTCCGTGCCTCTCCTTTGCTCCCTCCCTGCCCCCGCCTGCCCATGCCCCTGTCTTTGGCTTCTCCCCTCCCTGCCCCACGTTTCTTCCCTCCCTGCCCCCCCTCTGCCCCTCCCTTGTTTTCCCCTCACCCATTGCTTCTCCCCTCCCTGCCCTTGATTTCCCGCACCCCTGCCCTTGTTTCCTACCATCCATGCCCCTCGTTTCCCCCCTTTGTACGTTCAGCCTCTTCCCTCCCTGCCCCTCCCCTCCTCCCCCCCTGCCCTTTGCGTTCCCCTCGTTACGCTCCCTTCTCCCCATCCCTGCTGCCCTCTTGCCACCATCAGCCCATCCGCACCACCAGCCCCCCTCCCACCCTTCTCTCCCCCCCCTCCCTTTCCCTCTCTCTCTCTCTCTCTCTCTCTTTCTCACACACACACGCACACTCCCCTCCCCCACCCCCCACCCACGTCCTCCCATTCCGCCCCTCCCTGCCCCTTTCCCACCCCCTCGCACGCCCCTCACCTCCCACCTCCGTGCAACTGGTTTCCCCCCTATGGTGCCTCCCTTGCATCGCTCGCCCCTCTGCTCACCCTCTGCCCGCCCCTTTTCCGTGCCCTCAGCTGGCCCAGCCCCTGCCCGTTGCTGCCCCTCCCCTTGCCCCCTCAACTCCCCTGCCCCCCGTACACCCCAGTCCCATCCAACCGCCCCCACCCTCCCCCGGCTGCCCGTTTCCGCTCTCCACCCCCGCGACCGTGTGCGGCTTCCAACCGCCCAACGGTGGTGCGCACGGGGCGTTTCTTCGCACGGGCAAGCCTCCCCGGGGGGCCCCCACCCCGCTGAGTCGTTGTTTGGGCAAAAAAAACGAAAATAAAAAAAATCGGACGCGCTAAAATCGTCCTTTCTTTTTCCCGCTTGCCCCTCCCCCGGCACGTGCCGAGCAAGGGGCATAAATGGGTACAACACGAGGACTTCCCGGGAGGTCACCCAGCCCAGTACTGCTCTCGCCCACCGGCGCTTAGCTTCGGAGTTCTGATGGGATCCGGCGTAGTAGCCGAGGTATGATCGTACCACGTCAATCCCGTGCCCCGACCGGTACACACCCCTTGCCCGGGTCCCCCCTTCATAGTCACACCCCCTGCCTCCTCATGCCATCCGCTCCCCCCCGCCCCCACCCTCCGCGTGCCCGCTCCCTTGCCGCCTCTTTTGACCCTCCCTGCCCCCCTCGCCGTTTCCCACCGCCCGCCATTCGCTCCTCCCCGCCCGTGCGCTCCCCTCGTTTACCTTCTCCTCCCCCCTCCCCTCCTCTGCTGCACGCCTCTTCCTTCCCCTCGCCGACCCACTCCACTCCCTGCCCCTCCTCAATCCGCACCCTGCCCCTCGTATCTCGCCCCCCTATGCTTGGTTTCTCCCCTCCCTGCCCCTCGCCGCCTTTCTCCGCTCCCCACCTCCCCCCTCTCCCTGCTCCCCCACTCTCCCCCCCTTGCCCTTGGCTTCCTACCTCCCTGCCCCACCTTTCCCCCCTCCGTGTGCTCAGCTTCTCCCCTCCCTGCCCCTCCCTCCTCCCCGCCCTGCCCCTCATTTTCCGCCCCCCCACGCCCGGTTTCTCCCCTCCCCGCGCCTCCCTTTCTTTCTCCGTGCCTCTCCTTTGCTCCCTCCCTGCCCCCGCCTGCCCATGCCCCTGTCTTTGGCTTCTCCCCTCCCTGCCCCACGTTTCTTCCCTCCCTGCCCCCCCTCTGCCCCTCCCTTGTTTTCCCCTCACCCATTGCTTCTCCCCTCCCTGCCCTTGATTTCCCGCACCCCTGCCCTTGTTTCCTACCATCCATGCCCCTCGTTTCCCCCCTTTGTACGTTCAGCCTCTTCCCTCCCTGCCCCTCCCCTCCTCCCCCCCTGCCCTTTGCGTTCCCCTCGTTACGCTCCCTTCTCCCCATCCCTGCTGCCCTCTTGCCACCATCAGCCCATCCGCACCACCAGCCCCCCTCCCACCCTTCTCTCCCCCCCTCCCTTTCCCTCTCTCTCTCTCTCTCTCTCTCTCTCTCTCTCTCTTTCTCACACACACACGCACACTCCCCTCCCCCACCCCCCACCCACGTCCTCCCATTCCGCCCCTCCCTGCCCCTTTCCCACCCCCTCGCACGCCCCTCACCTCCCACCTCCGTGCAACTGGTTTCCCCCCTATGGTGCCTCCCTTGCATCGCTCGCCCCTCTGCTCACCCTCTGCCCGCCCCTTTTCCGTGCCCTCAGCTGGCCCAGCCCCTGCCCGTTGCTGCCCCTCCCCTTGCCCCCTCAACTCCCCTGCCCCCCGTACACCCCAGTCCCATCCAACCGCCCCCACCCTCCCCCGGCTGCCCGTTTCCGCTCTCCACCCCCGCGACCGTGTGCGGCTTCCAACCGCCCAACGGTGGTGCGCACGGGGCGTTTCTTCGCACGGGCAAGCCTCCCCGGGGGGCCCCCACCCCGCTGAGTCGTTGTTTGGGCAAAAAAACGAAAATAAAAAAAATCGGACGCGCTAAAATCGTCCTTTCTTTTTCCCGCTTGCCCCTCCCCCGGCACGTGCCGAGCAAGGGGCATAAATGGGTACAACACGAGGACTTCCCGGGAGGTCACCCAGCCCAGTACTGCTCTCGCCCACCGGCGCTTAGCTTCGGAGTTCTGATGGGATCCGGCGTAGTAGCCGAGGTATGATCGTACCACGTCAATCCCGTGCCCCGACCGGTACACACCCCTTGCCCGGGTCCCCCCTTCATAGTCACACCCCCTGCCTCCTCATGCCATCCGCTCCCCCCCGCCCCCACCCTCCGCGTGCCCGCTCCCTTGCCGCCTCTTTTGACCCTCCCTGCCCCCCTCGCCGTTTCCCACCGCCCGCCATTCGCTCCTCCCCGCCCGTGCGCTCCCCTCGTTTACCTTCTCCTCCCCCCTCCCCTCCTCTGCTGCACGCCTCTTCCTTCCCCTCGCCGACCCACTCCACTCCCTGCCCCTCCTCAATCCGCACCCTGCCCCTCGTATCTCGCCCCCCTATGCTTGGTTTCTCCCCTCCCTGCCCCTCGCCGCCTTTCTCCGCTCCCCACCTCCCCCCTCTCCCTGCTCCCCCACTCTCCCCCCCTTGCCCTTGGCTTCCTACCTCCCTGCCCCACCTTTCCCCCCTCCGTGTGCTCAGCTTCTCCCCTCCCTGCCCCTCCCTCCTCCCCGCCCTGCCCCTCATTTTCCGCCCCCCCACGCCCGGTTTCTCCCCTCCCCGCGCCTCCCTTTCTTTCTCCGTGCCTCTCCTTTGCTCCCTCCCTGCCCCCGCCTGCCCATGCCCCTGTCTTTGGCTTCTCCCCTCCCTGCCCCACGTTTCTTCCCTCCCTGCCCCCCCTCTGCCCCTCCCTTGTTTTCCCCTCACCCATTGCTTCTCCCCTCCCTGCCCTTGATTTCCCGCACCCCTGCCCTTGTTTCCTACCATCCATGCCCCTCGTTTCCCCCCTTTGTACGTTCAGCCTCTTCCCTCCCTGCCCCTCCCCTCCTCCCCCCCTGCCCTTTGCGTTCCCCTCGTTACGCTCCCTTCTCCCCATCCCTGCTGCCCTCTTGCCACCATCAGCCCATCCGCACCACCAGCCCCCCTCCCACCCTTCTCTCCCCCCCTCCCTTTCCCTCTCTCTCTCTCTCTCTCTCTCTCTCTCTCTCTTTCTCACACACACACGCACACTCCCCTCCCCCACCCCCCACCCACGTCCTCCCATTCCGCCCCTCCCTGCCCCTTTCCCACCCCCTCGCACGCCCCTCACCTCCCACCTCCGTGCAACTGGTTTCCCCCCTATGGTGCCTCCCTTGCATCGCTCGCCCCTCTGCTCACCCTCTGCCCGCCCCTTTTCCGTGCCCTCAGCTGGCCCAGCCCCTGCCCGTTGCTGCCCCTCCCCTTGCCCCCTCAACTCCCCTGCCCCCCGTACACCCCAGTCCCATCCAACCGCCCCCACCCTCCCCCGGCTGCCCGTTTCCGCTCTCCACCCCCGCGACCGTGTGCGGCTTCCAACCGCCCAACGGTGGTGCGCACGGGGCGTTTCTTCGCACGGGCAAGCCTCCCCGGGGGGCCCCCACCCCGCTGAGTCGTTGTTTGGGCAAAAAAACGAAAATAAAAAAAATCGGACGCGCTAAAATCGTCCTTTCTTTTTCCCGCTTGCCCCTCCCCCGGCACGTGCCGAGCAAGGGGCATAAATGGGTACAACACGAGGACTTCCCGGGAGGTCACCCAGCCCAGTACTGCTCTCGCCCACCGGCGCTTAGCTTCGGAGTTCTGATGGGATCCGGCGTAGTAGCCGAGGTATGATCGTACCACGTCAATCCCGTGCCCCGACCGGTACACACCCCTTGCCCGGGTCCCCCCTTCATAGTCACACCCCCTGCCTCCTCATGCCATCCGCTCCCCCCCGCCCCCACCCTCCGCGTGCCCGCTCCCTTGCCGCCTCTTTTGACCCTCCCTGCCCCCCTCGCCGTTTCCCACCGCCCGCCATTCGCTCCTCCCCGCCCGTGCGCTCCCCTCGTTTACCTTCTCCTCCCCCCTCCCCTCCTCTGCTGCACGCCTCTTCCTTCCCCTCGCCGACCCACTCCACTCCCTGCCCCTCCTCAATCCGCACCCTGCCCCTCGTATCTCGCCCCCCTATGCTTGGTTTCTCCCCTCCCTGCCCCTCGCCGCCTTTCTCCGCTCCCCACCTCCCCCCTCTCCCTGCTCCCCCACTCTCCCCCCCTTGCCCTTGGCTTCCTACCTCCCTGCCCCACCTTTCCCCCCTCCGTGTGCTCAGCTTCTCCCCTCCCTGCCCCTCCCTCCTCCCCGCCCTGCCCCTCATTTTCCGCCCCCCCACGCCCGGTTTCTCCCCTCCCCGCGCCTCCCTTTCTTTCTCCGTGCCTCTCCTTTGCTCCCTCCCTGCCCCCGCCTGCCCATGCCCCTGTCTTTGGCTTCTCCCCTCCCTGCCCCACGTTTCTTCCCTCCCTGCCCCCCCTCTGCCCCTCCCTTGTTTTCCCCTCACCCATTGCTTCTCCCCTCCCTGCCCTTGATTTCCCGCACCCCTGCCCTTGTTTCCTACCATCCATGCCCCTCGTTTCCCCCCTTTGTACGTTCAGCCTCTTCCCTCCCTGCCCCTCCCCTCCTCCCCCCCTGCCCTTTGCGTTCCCCTCGTTACGCTCCCTTCTCCCCATCCCTGCTGCCCTCTTGCCACCATCAGCCCATCCGCACCACCAGCCCCCCTCCCACCCTTCTCTCCCCCCCTCCCTTTCCCTCTCTCTCTCTCTCTCTCTCTCTCTCTCTCTCTCTTTCTCACACACACACGCACACTCCCCTCCCCCACCCCCCACCCACGTCCTCCCATTCCGCCCCTCCCTGCCCCTTTCCCACCCCCTCGCACGCCCCTCACCTCCCACCTCCGTGCAACTGGTTTCCCCCCTATGGTGCCTCCCTTGCATCGCTCGCCCCTCTGCTCACCCTCTGCCCGCCCCTTTTCCGTGCCCTCAGCTGGCCCAGCCCCTGCCCGTTGCTGCCCCTCCCCTTGCCCCCTCAACTCCCCTGCCCCCCGTACACCCCAGTCCCATCCAACCGCCCCCACCCTCCCCCGGCTGCCCGTTTCCGCTCTCCACCCCCGCGACCGTGTGCGGCTTCCAACCGCCCAACGGTGGTGCGCACGGGGCGTTTCTTCGCACGGGCAAGCCTCCCCGGGGGGCCCCCACCCCGCTGAGTCGTTGTTTGGGCAAAAAAACGAAAATAAAAAAAATCGGACGCGCTAAAATCGTCCTTTCTTTTTCCCGCTTGCCCCTCCCCCGGCACGTGCCGAGCAAGGGGCATAAATGGGTACAACACGAGGACTTCCCGGGAGGTCACCCAGCCCAGTACTGCTCTCGCCCACCGGCGCTTAGCTTCGGAGTTCTGATGGGATCCGGCGTAGTAGCCGAGGTATGATCGTACCACGTCAATCCCGTGCCCCGACCGGTACACACCCCTTGCCCGGGTCCCCCCTTCATAGTCACACCCCCTGCCTCCTCATGCCATCCGCTCCCCCCCGCCCCCACCCTCCGCGTGCCCGCTCCCTTGCCGCCTCTTTTGACCCTCCCTGCCCCCCTCGCCGTTTCCCACCGCCCGCCATTCGCTCCTCCCCGCCCGTGCGCTCCCCTCGTTTACCTTCTCCTCCCCCCTCCCCTCCTCTGCTGCACGCCTCTTCCTTCCCCTCGCCGACCCACTCCACTCCCTGCCCCTCCTCAATCCGCACCCTGCCCCTCGTATCTCGCCCCCCTATGCTTGGTTTCTCCCCTCCCTGCCCCTCGCCGCCTTTCTCCGCTCCCCACCTCCCCCCTCTCCCTGCTCCCCCACTCTCCCCCCCTTGCCCTTGGCTTCCTACCTCCCTGCCCCACCTTTCCCCCCTCCGTGTGCTCAGCTTCTCCCCTCCCTGCCCCTCCCTCCTCCCCGCCCTGCCCCTCATTTTCCGCCCCCCCACGCCCGGTTTCTCCCCTCCCCGCGCCTCCCTTTCTTTCTCCGTGCCTCTCCTTTGCTCCCTCCCTGCCCCCGCCTGCCCATGCCCCTGTCTTTGGCTTCTCCCCTCCCTGCCCCACGTTTCTTCCCTCCCTGCCCCCCCTCTGCCCCTCCCTTGTTTTCCCCTCACCCATTGCTTCTCCCCTCCCTGCCCTTGATTTCCCGCACCCCTGCCCTTGTTTCCTACCATCCATGCCCCTCGTTTCCCCCCTTTGTACGTTCAGCCTCTTCCCTCCCTGCCCCTCCCCTCCTCCCCCCCTGCCCTTTGCGTTCCCCTCGTTACGCTCCCTTCTCCCCATCCCTGCTGCCCTCTTGCCACCATCAGCCCATCCGCACCACCAGCCCCCCTCCCACCCTTCTCTCCCCCCCTCCCTTTCCCTCTCTCTCTCTCTCTCTCTCTCTCTCTCTCTTTCTCACACACACACGCACACTCCCCTCCCCCACCCCCCACCCACGTCCTCCCATTCCGCCCCTCCCTGCCCCTTTCCCACCCCCTCGCACGCCCCTCACCTCCCACCTCCGTGCAACTGGTTTCCCCCCTATGGTGCCTCCCTTGCATCGCTCGCCCCTCTGCTCACCCTCTGCCCGCCCCTTTTCCGTGCCCTCAGCTGGCCCAGCCCCTGCCCGTTGCTGCCCCTCCCCTTGCCCCCTCAACTCCCCTGCCCCCCGTACACCCCAGTCCCATCCAACCGCCCCCACCCTCCCCCGGCTGCCCGTTTCCGCTCTCCACCCCCGCGACCGTGTGCGGCTTCCAACCGCCCAACGGTGGTGCGCACGGGGCGTTTCTTCGCACGGGCAAGCCTCCCCGGGGGGCCCCCACCCCGCTGAGTCGTTGTTTGGGCAAAAAAACGAAAATAAAAAAAATCGGACGCGCTAAAATCGTCCTTTCTTTTTCCCGCTTGCCCCTCCCCCGGCACGTGCCGAGCAAGGGGCATAAATGGGTACAACACGAGGACTTCCCGGGAGGTCACCCAGCCCAGTACTGCTCTCGCCCACCGGCGCTTAGCTTCGGAGTTCTGATGGGATCCGGCGTAGTAGCCGAGGTATGATCGTACCACGTCAATCCCGTGCCCCGACCGGTACACACCCCTTGCCCGGGTCCCCCCTTCATAGTCACACCCCCTGCCTCCTCATGCCATCCGCTCCCCCCCGCCCCCACCCTCCGCGTGCCCGCTCCCTTGCCGCCTCTTTTGACCCTCCCTGCCCCCCTCGCCGTTTCCCACCGCCCGCCATTCGCTCCTCCCCGCCCGTGCGCTCCCCTCGTTTACCTTCTCCTCCCCCCTCCCCTCCTCTGCTGCACGCCTCTTCCTTCCCCTCGCCGACCCACTCCACTCCCTGCCCCTCCTCAATCCGCACCCTGCCCCTCGTATCTCGCCCCCCTATGCTTGGTTTCTCCCCTCCCTGCCCCTCGCCGCCTTTCTCCGCTCCCCACCTCCCCCCTCTCCCTGCTCCCCCACTCTCCCCCCCTTGCCCTTGGCTTCCTACCTCCCTGCCCCACCTTTCCCCCCTCCGTGTGCTCAGCTTCTCCCCTCCCTGCCCCTCCCTCCTCCCCGCCCTGCCCCTCATTTTCCGCCCCCCCACGCCCGGTTTCTCCCCTCCCCGCGCCTCCCTTTCTTTCTCCGTGCCTCTCCTTTGCTCCCTCCCTGCCCCCGCCTGCCCATGCCCCTGTCTTTGGCTTCTCCCCTCCCTGCCCCACGTTTCTTCCCTCCCTGCCCCCCCTCTGCCCCTCCCTTGTTTTCCCCTCACCCATTGCTTCTCCCCTCCCTGCCCTTGATTTCCCGCACCCCTGCCCTTGTTTCCTACCATCCATGCCCCTCGTTTCCCCCCTTTGTACGTTCAGCCTCTTCCCTCCCTGCCCCTCCCCTCCTCCCCCCCTGCCCTTTGCGTTCCCCTCGTTACGCTCCCTTCTCCCCATCCCTGCTGCCCTCTTGCCACCATCAGCCCATCCGCACCACCAGCCCCCCTCCCACCCTTCTCTCCCCCCCTCCCTTTCCCTCTCTCTCTCTCTCTCTCTCTCTCTCTCTCTTTCTCACACACACACGCACACTCCCCTCCCCCACCCCCCACCCACGTCCTCCCATTCCGCCCCTCCCTGCCCCTTTCCCACCCCCTCGCACGCCCCTCACCTCCCACCTCCGTGCAACTGGTTTCCCCCCTATGGTGCCTCCCTTGCATCGCTCGCCCCTCTGCTCACCCTCTGCCCGCCCCTTTTCCGTGCCCTCAGCTGGCCCAGCCCCTGCCCGTTGCTGCCCCTCCCCTTGCCCCCTCAACTCCCCTGCCCCCCGTACACCCCAGTCCCATCCAACCGCCCCCACCCTCCCCCGGCTGCCCGTTTCCGCTCTCCACCCCCGCGACCGTGTGCGGCTTCCAACCGCCCAACGGTGGTGCGCACGGGGCGTTTCTTCGCACGGGCAAGCCTCCCCGGGGGGCCCCCACCCCGCTGAGTCGTTGTTTGGGCAAAAAAACGAAAATAAAAAAAATCGGACGCGCTAAAATCGTCCTTTCTTTTTCCCGCTTGCCCCTCCCCCGGCACGTGCCGAGCAAGGGGCATAAATGGGTACAACACGAGGACTTCCCGGGAGGTCACCCAGCCCAGTACTGCTCTCGCCCACCGGCGCTTAGCTTCGGAGTTCTGATGGGATCCGGCGTAGTAGCCGAGGTATGATCGTACCACGTCAATCCCGTGCCCCGACCGGTACACACCCCTTGCCCGGGTCCCCCCTTCATAGTCACACCCCCTGCCTCCTCATGCCATCCGCTCCCCCCCGCCCCCACCCTCCGCGTGCCCGCTCCCTTGCCGCCTCTTTTGACCCTCCCTGCCCCCCTCGCCGTTTCCCACCGCCCGCCATTCGCTCCTCCCCGCCCGTGCGCTCCCCTCGTTTACCTTCTCCTCCCCCCTCCCCTCCTCTGCTGCACGCCTCTTCCTTCCCCTCGCCGACCCACTCCACTCCCTGCCCCTCCTCAATCCGCACCCTGCCCCTCGTATCTCGCCCCCCTATGCTTGGTTTCTCCCCTCCCTGCCCCTCGCCGCCTTTCTCCGCTCCCCACCTCCCCCCTCTCCCTGCTCCCCCACTCTCCCCCCCTTGCCCTTGGCTTCCTACCTCCCTGCCCCACCTTTCCCCCCTCCGTGTGCTCAGCTTCTCCCCTCCCTGCCCCTCCCTCCTCCCCGCCCTGCCCCTCATTTTCCGCCCCCCCACGCCCGGTTTCTCCCCTCCCCGCGCCTCCCTTTCTTTCTCCGTGCCTCTCCTTTGCTCCCTCCCTGCCCCCGCCTGCCCATGCCCCTGTCTTTGGCTTCTCCCCTCCCTGCCCCACGTTTCTTCCCTCCCTGCCCCCCCTCTGCCCCTCCCTTGTTTTCCCCTCACCCATTGCTTCTCCCCTCCCTGCCCTTGATTTCCCGCACCCCTGCCCTTGTTTCCTACCATCCATGCCCCTCGTTTCCCCCCTTTGTACGTTCAGCCTCTTCCCTCCCTGCCCCTCCCCTCCTCCCCCCCTGCCCTTTGCGTTCCCCTCGCTTACGCTCCCTTCTCCCCATCCCTGCTGCCCTCTTGCCACCATCAGCCCATCCGCACCACCAGCCCCCCTCCCACCCTTCTCTCCCCCCCTCCCTTTCCCTCTCTCTCTCTCTCTCTCTCTCTCTTTCTCACACACACACGCACACTCCCCTCCCCCACCCCCCACCCACGTCCTCCCATTCCGCCCCTCCCTGCCCCTTTCCCACCCCCTCGCACGCCCCTCACCTCCCACCTCCGTGCAACTGGTTTCCCCCCTATGGTGCCTCCCTTGCATCGCTCGCCCCGCTGCTCACCCTCTGCCCGCCCCTTTTCCGTGCCCTCAGCTGGCCCAGCCCCTGCCCGTTGCTGCCCCTCCCCTTGCCCCCTCAACTCCCCTGCCCCCCGTACACCCCAGTCCCATCCAACCGCCCCCACCCTCCCCCGGCTGCCCGTTTCCGCTCTCCACCCCCGCGACCGTGTGCGGCTTCCAACCGCCCAACGGTGGTGCGCACGGGGCGTTTCTTCGCACGGGCAAGCCTCCCCGGGGGGCCCCCACCCCGCTGAGTCGTTGTTTGGGCAAAAAAACGAAAATAAAAAAAAATCGGACGCGCTAAAATCGTCCTTTCTTTTTCCCGCTTGCCCCTCCCCCGGCACGTGCCGAGCAAGGGGCATAAATGGGTACAACACGAGGACTTCCCGGGAGGTCACCCAGCCCAGTACTGCTCTCGCCCACCGGCGCTTAGCTTCGGAGTTCTGATGGGATCCGGCGTAGTAGCCGAGGTATGATCGTACCACGTCAATCCCGTGCCCCGACCGGTACACACCCCTTGCCCGGGTCCCCCCTTCATAGTCACACCCCCTGCCTCCTCATGCCATCCGCTCCCCCCCGCCCCCACCCTCCGCGTGCCCGCTCCCTTGCCGCCTCTTTTGACCCTCCCTGCCCCCCTCGCCGTTTCCCACCGCCCGCCATTCGCTCCTCCCCGCCCGTGCGCTCCCCTCGTTTACCTTCTCCTCCCCCCTCCCCTCCTCTGCTGCACGCCTCTTCCTTCCCCTCGCCGACCCACTCCACTCCCTGCCCCTCCTCAATCCGCACCCTGCCCCTCGTATCTCGCCCCCCTATGCTTGGTTTCTCCCCTCCCTGCCCCTCGCCGCCTTTCTCCGCTCCCCACCTCCCCCCTCTCCCTGCTCCCCCACTCTCCCCCCCTTGCCCTTGGCTTCCTACCTCCCTGCCCCACCTTTCCCCCCTCCGTGTGCTCAGCTTCTCCCCTCCCTGCCCCTCCCTCCTCCCCGCCCTGCCCCTCATTTTCCGCCCCCCCACGCCCGGTTTCTCCCCTCCCCGCGCCTCCCTTTCTTTCTCCGTGCCTCTCCTTTGCTCCCTCCCTGCCCCCGCCTGCCCATGCCCCTGTCTTTGGCTTCTCCCCTCCCTGCCCCACGTTTCTTCCCTCCCTGCCCCCCCTCTGCCCCTCCCTTGTTTTCCCCTCACCCATTGCTTCTCCCCTCCCTGCCCTTGATTTCCCGCACCCCTGCCCTTGTTTCCTACCATCCATGCCCCTCGTTTCCCCCCTTTGTACGTTCAGCCTCTTCCCTCCCTGCCCCTCCCCTCCTCCCCCCCTGCCCTTTGCGTTCCCCTCGTTACGCTCCCTTCTCCCCATCCCTGCTGCCCTCTTGCCACCATCAGCCCATCCGCACCACCAGCCCCCCTCCCACCCTTCTCTCCCCCCCTCCCTTTCCCTCTCTCTCTCTCTCTCTCTCTCTCTCTCTCTTTCTCACACACACACGCACACTCCCCTCCCCCACCCCCCACCCACGTCCTCCCATTCCGCCCCTCCCTGCCCCTTTCCCACCCCCTCGCACGCCCCTCACCTCCCACCTCCGTGCAACTGGTTTCCCCCCTATGGTGCCTCCCTTGCATCGCTCGCCCCTCTGCTCACCCTCTGCCCGCCCCTTTTCCGTGCCCTCAGCTGGCCCAGCCCCTGCCCGTTGCTGCCCCTCCCCTTGCCCCCTCAACTCCCCTGCCCCCCGTACACCCCAGTCCCATCCAACCGCCCCCACCCTCCCCCGGCTGCCCGTTTCCGCTCTCCACCCCCGCGACCGTGTGCGGCTTCCAACCGCCCAACGGTGGTGCGCACGGGGCGTTTCTTCGCACGGGCAAGCCTCCCCGGGGGGCCCCCACCCCGCTGAGTCGTTGTTTGGGCAAAAAAACGAAAATAAAAAAAATCGGACGCGCTAAAATCGTCCTTTCTTTTTCCCGCTTGCCCCTCCCCCGGCACGTGCCGAGCAAGGGGCATAAATGGGTACAACACGAGGACTTCCCGGGAGGTCACCCAGCCCAGTACTGCTCTCGCCCACCGGCGCTTAGCTTCGGAGTTCTGATGGGATCCGGCGTAGTAGCCGAGGTATGATCGTACCACGTCAATCCCGTGCCCCGACCGGTACACACCCCTTGCCCGGGTCCCCCCTTCATAGTCACACCCCCTGCCTCCTCATGCCATCCGCTCCCCCCCGCCCCCACCCTCCGCGTGCCCGCTCCCTTGCCGCCTCTTTTGACCCTCCCTGCCCCCCTCGCCGTTTCCCACCGCCCGCCATTCGCTCCTCCCCGCCCGTGCGCTCCCCTCGTTTACCTTCTCCTCCCCCCTCCCCTCCTCTGCTGCACGCCTCTTCCTTCCCCTCGCCGACCCACTCCACTCCCTGCCCCTCCTCAATCCGCACCCTGCCCCTCGTATCTCGCCCCCCTATGCTTGGTTTCTCCCCTCCCTGCCCCTCGCCGCCTTTCTCCGCTCCCCACCTCCCCCCTCTCCCTGCTCCCCCACTCTCCCCCCCTTGCCCTTGGCTTCCTACCTCCCTGCCCCACCTTTCCCCCCTCCGTGTGCTCAGCTTCTCCCCTCCCTGCCCCTCCCTCCTCCCCGCCCTGCCCCTCATTTTCCGCCCCCCCACGCCCGGTTTCTCCCCTCCCCGCGCCTCCCTTTCTTTCTCCGTGCCTCTCCTTTGCTCCCTCCCTGCCCCCGCCTGCCCATGCCCCTGTCTTTGGCTTCTCCCCTCCCTGCCCCACGTTTCTTCCCTCCCTGCCCCCCCTCTGCCCCTCCCTTGTTTTCCCCTCACCCATTGCTTCTCCCCTCCCTGCCCTTGATTTCCCGCACCCCTGCCCTTGTTTCCTACCATCCATGCCCCTCGTTTCCCCCCTTTGTACGTTCAGCCTCTTCCCTCCCTGCCCCTCCCCTCCTCCCCCCCTGCCCTTTGCGTTCCCCTCGCTTACGCTCCCTTCTCCCCATCCCTGCTGCCCTCTTGCCACCATCAGCCCATCCGCACCACCAGCCCCCCTCCCACCCTTCTCTCCCCCCCTCCCTTTCCCTCTCTCTCTCTCTCTCTCTCTCTCTCTTTCTCACACACACACGCACACTCCCCTCCCCCACCCCCCACCCACGTCCTCCCATTCCGCCCCTCCCTGCCCCTTTCCCACCCCCTCGCACGCCCCTCACCTCCCACCTCCGTGCAACTGGTTTCCCCCCTATGGTGCCTCCCTTGCATCGCTCGCCCCTCTGCTCACCCTCTGCCCGCCCCTTTTCCGTGCCCTCAGCTGGCCCAGCCCCTGCCCGTTGCTGCCCCTCCCCTTGCCCCCTCAACTCCCCTGCCCCCCGTACACCCCAGTCCCATCCAACCGCCCCCACCCTCCCCCGGCTGCCCGTTTCCGCTCTCCACCCCCGCGACCGTGTGCGGCTTCCAACCGCCCAACGGTGGTGCGCACGGGGCGTTTCTTCGCACGGGCAAGCCTCCCCGGGGGGCCCCCACCCCGCTGAGTCGTTGTTTGGGCAAAAAAAACGAAAATAAAAAAAATCGGACGCGCTAAAATCGTCCTTTCTTTTTCCCGCTTGCCCCTCCCCCGGCACGTGCCGAGCAAGGGGCATAAATGGGTACAACACGAGGACTTCCCGGGAGGTCACCCAGCCCAGTACTGCTCTCGCCCACCGGCGCTTAGCTTCGGAGTTCTGATGGGATCCGGCGTAGTAGCCGAGGTATGATCGTACCACGTCAATCCCGTGCCCCGACCGGTACACACCCCTTGCCCGGGTCCCCCCTTCATAGTCACACCCCCTGCCTCCTCATGCCATCCGCTCCCCCCCGCCCCCACCCTCCGCGTGCCCGCTCCCTTGCCGCCTCTTTTGACCCTCCCTGCCCCCCTCGCCGTTTCCCACCGCCCGCCATTCGCTCCTCCCCGCCCGTGCGCTCCCCTCGTTTACCTTCTCCTCCCCCCTCCCCTCCTCTGCTGCACGCCTCTTCCTTCCCCTCGCCGACCCACTCCACTCCCTGCCCCTCCTCAATCCGCACCCTGCCCCTCGTATCTCGCCCCCCTATGCTTGGTTTCTCCCCTCCCTGCCCCTCGCCGCCTTTCTCCGCTCCCCACCTCCCCCCTCTCCCTGCTCCCCCACTCTCCCCCCCTTGCCCTTGGCTTCCTACCTCCCTGCCCCACCTTTCCCCCCTCCGTGTGCTCAGCTTCTCCCCTCCCTGCCCCTCCCTCCTCCCCGCCCTGCCCCTCATTTTCCGCCCCCCCACGCCCGGTTTCTCCCCTCCCCGCGCCTCCCTTTCTTTCTCCGTGCCTCTCCTTTGCTCCCTCCCTGCCCCCGCCTGCCCATGCCCCTGTCTTTGGCTTCTCCCCTCCCTGCCCCACGTTTCTTCCCTCCCTGCCCCCCCTCTGCCCCTCCCTTGTTTTCCCCTCACCCATTGCTTCTCCCCTCCCTGCCCTTGATTTCCCGCACCCCTGCCCTTGTTTCCTACCATCCATGCCCCTCGTTTCCCCCCTTTGTACGTTCAGCCTCTTCCCTCCCTGCCCCTCCCCTCCTCCCCCCCTGCCCTTTGCGTTCCCCTCGTTACGCTCCCTTCTCCCCATCCCTGCTGCCCTCTTGCCACCATCAGCCCATCCGCACCACCAGCCCCCCTCCCACCCTTCTCTCCCCCCCTCCCTTTCCCTCTCTCTCTCTCTCTCTCTCTCTCTCTCTTTCTCACACACACACGCACACTCCCCTCCCCCACCCCCCACCCACGTCCTCCCATTCCGCCCCTCCCTGCCCCTTTCCCACCCCCTCGCACGCCCCTCACCTCCCACCTCCGTGCAACTGGTTTCCCCCCTATGGTGCCTCCCTTGCATCGCTCGCCCCTCTGCTCACCCTCTGCCCGCCCCTTTTCCGTGCCCTCAGCTGGCCCAGCCCCTGCCCGTTGCTGCCCCTCCCCTTGCCCCCTCAACTCCCCTGCCCCCCGTACACCCCAGTCCCATCCAACCGCCCCCACCCTCCCCCGGCTGCCCGTTTCCGCTCTCCACCCCCGCGACCGTGTGCGGCTTCCAACCGCCCAACGGTGGTGCGCACGGGGCGTTTCTTCGCACGGGCAAGCCTCCCCGGGGGGCCCCCACCCCGCTGAGTCGTTGTTTGGGCAAAAAAAACGAAAATAAAAAAAATCGGACGCGCTAAAATCGTCCTTTCTTTTTCCCGCTTGCCCCTCCCCCGGCACGTGCCGAGCAAGGGGCATAAATGGGTACAACACGAGGACTTCCCGGGAGGTCACCCAGCCCAGTACTGCTCTCGCCCACCGGCGCTTAGCTTCGGAGTTCTGATGGGATCCGGCGTAGTAGCCGAGGTATGATCGTACCACGTCAATCCCGTGCCCCGACCGGTACACACCCCTTGCCCGGGTCCCCCCTTCATAGTCACACCCCCTGCCTCCTCATGCCATCCGCTCCCCCCCGCCCCCACCCTCCGCGTGCCCGCTCCCTTGCCGCCTCTTTTGACCCTCCCTGCCCCCCTCGCCGTTTCCCACCGCCCGCCATTCGCTCCTCCCCGCCCGTGCGCTCCCCTCGTTTACCTTCTCCTCCCCCCTCCCCTCCTCTGCTGCACGCCTCTTCCTTCCCCTCGCCGACCCACTCCACTCCCTGCCCCTCCTCAATCCGCACCCTGCCCCTCGTATCTCGCCCCCCTATGCTTGGTTTCTCCCCTCCCTGCCCCTCGCCGCCTTTCTCCGCTCCCCACCTCCCCCCTCTCCCTGCTCCCCCACTCTCCCCCCCTTGCCCTTGGCTTCCTACCTCCCTGCCCCACCTTTCCCCCCTCCGTGTGCTCAGCTTCTCCCCTCCCTGCCCCTCCCTCCTCCCCGCCCTGCCCCTCATTTTCCGCCCCCCCACGCCCGGTTTCTCCCCTCCCCGCGCCTCCCTTTCTTTCTCCGTGCCTCTCCTTTGCTCCCTCCCTGCCCCCGCCTGCCCATGCCCCTGTCTTTGGCTTCTCCCCTCCCTGCCCCACGTTTCTTCCCTCCCTGCCCCCCCTCTGCCCCTCCCTTGTTTTCCCCTCACCCATTGCTTCTCCCCTCCCTGCCCTTGATTTCCCGCACCCCTGCCCTTGTTTCCTACCATCCATGCCCCTCGTTTCCCCCCTTTGTACGTTCAGCCTCTTCCCTCCCTGCCCCTCCCCTCCTCCCCCCCTGCCCTTTGCGTTCCCCTCGCTACGCTCCCTTCTCCCCATCCCTGCTGCCCTCTTGCCACCATCAGCCCATCCGCACCACCAGCCCCCCTCCCACCCTTCTCTCCCCCCCTCCCTTTCCCTCTCTCTCTCTCTCTCTCTCTCTCTCTCTCTTTCTCACACACACACGCACACTCCCCTCCCCCACCCCCCACCCACGTCCTCCCATTCCGCCCCTCCCTGCCCCTTTCCCACCCCCTCGCACGCCCCTCACCTCCCACCTCCGTGCAACTGGTTTCCCCCCTATGGTGCCTCCCTTGCATCGCTCGCCCCTCTGCTCACCCTCTGCCCGCCCCTTTTCCGTGCCCTCAGCTGGCCCAGCCCCTGCCCGTTGCTGCCCCTCCCCTTGCCCCCTCAACTCCCCTGCCCCCCGTACACCCCAGTCCCATCCAACCGCCCCCACCCTCCCCCGGCTGCCCGTTTCCGCTCTCCACCCCCGCGACCGTGTGCGGCTTCCAACCGCCCAACGGTGGTGCGCACGGGGCGTTTCTTCGCACGGGCAAGCCTCCCCGGGGGGCCCCCACCCCGCTGAGTCGTTGTTTGGGCAAAAAAAACGAAAATAAAAAAAAATCGGACGCGCTAAAATCGTCCTTTCTTTTTCCCGCTTGCCCCTCCCCCGGCACGTGCCGAGCAAGGGGCATAAATGGGTACAACACGAGGACTTCCCGGGAGGTCACCCAGCCCAGTACTGCTCTCGCCCACCGGCGCTTAGCTTCGGAGTTCTGATGGGATCCGGCGTAGTAGCCGAGGTATGATCGTACCACGTCAATCCCGTGCCCCGACCGGTACACACCCCTTGCCCGGGTCCCCCCTTCATAGTCACACCCCCTGCCTCCTCATGCCATCCGCTCCCCCCCGCCCCCACCCTCCGCGTGCCCGCTCCCTTGCCGCCTCTTTTGACCCTCCCTGCCCCCCTCGCCGTTTCCCACCGCCCGCCATTCGCTCCTCCCCGCCCGTGCGCTCCCCTCGTTTACCTTCTCCTCCCCCCTCCCCTCCTCTGCTGCACGCCTCTTCCTTCCCCTCGCCGACCCACTCCACTCCCTGCCCCTCCTCAATCCGCACCCTGCCCCTCGTATCTCGCCCCCCTATGCTTGGTTTCTCCCCTCCCTGCCCCTCGCCGCCTTTCTCCGCTCCCCACCTCCCCCCTCTCCCTGCTCCCCCACTCTCCCCCCCTTGCCCTTGGCTTCCTACCTCCCTGCCCCACCTTTCCCCCCTCCGTGTGCTCAGCTTCTCCCCTCCCTGCCCCTCCCTCCTCCCCGCCCTGCCCCTCATTTTCCGCCCCCCCACGCCCGGTTTCTCCCCTCCCCGCGCCTCCCTTTCTTTCTCCGTGCCTCTCCTTTGCTCCCTCCCTGCCCCCGCCTGCCCATGCCCCTGTCTTTGGCTTCTCCCCTCCCTGCCCCACGTTTCTTCCCTCCCTGCCCCCCCTCTGCCCCTCCCTTGTTTTCCCCTCACCCATTGCTTCTCCCCTCCCTGCCCTTGATTTCCCGCACCCCTGCCCTTGTTTCCTACCATCCATGCCCCTCGTTTCCCCCCTTTGTACGTTCAGCCTCTTCCCTCCCTGCCCCTCCCCTCCTCCCCCCCTGCCCTTTGCGTTCCCCTCGTTACGCTCCCTTCTCCCCATCCCTGCTGCCCTCTTGCCACCATCAGCCCATCCGCACCACCAGCCCCCCTCCCACCCTTCTCTCCCCCCCTCCCTTTCCCTCTCTCTCTCTCTCTCTCTCTCTCTCTCTCTTTCTCACACACACACGCACACTCCCCTCCCCCACCCCCCACCCACGTCCTCCCATTCCGCCCCTCCCTGCCCCTTTCCCACCCCCTCGCACGCCCCTCACCTCCCACCTCCGTGCAACTGGTTTCCCCCCTATGGTGCCTCCCTTGCATCGCTCGCCCCTCTGCTCACCCTCTGCCCGCCCCTTTTCCGTGCCCTCAGCTGGCCCAGCCCCTGCCCGTTGCTGCCCCTCCCCTTGCCCCCTCAACTCCCCTGCCCCCCGTACACCCCAGTCCCATCCAACCGCCCCCACCCTCCCCCGGCTGCCCGTTTCCGCTCTCCACCCCCGCGACCGTGTGCGGCTTCCAACCGCCCAACGGTGGTGCGCACGGGGCGTTTCTTCGCACGGGCAAGCCTCCCCGGGGGGCCCCCACCCCGCTGAGTCGTTGTTTGGGCAAAAAAACGAAAATAAAAAAAAATCGGACGCGCTAAAATCGTCCTTTCTTTTTCCCGCTTGCCCCTCCCCCGGCACGTGCCGAGCAAGGGGCATAAATGGGTACAACACGAGGACTTCCCGGGAGGTCACCCAGCCCAGTACTGCTCTCGCCCACCGGCGCTTAGCTTCGGAGTTCTGATGGGATCCGGCGTAGTAGCCGAGGTATGATCGTACCACGTCAATCCCGTGCCCCGACCGGTACACACCCCTTGCCCGGGTCCCCCCTTCATAGTCACACCCCCTGCCTCCTCATGCCATCCGCTCCCCCCCGCCCCCACCCTCCGCGTGCCCGCTCCCTTGCCGCCTCTTTTGACCCTCCCTGCCCCCCTCGCCGTTTCCCACCGCCCGCCATTCGCTCCTCCCCGCCCGTGCGCTCCCCTCGTTTACCTTCTCCTCCCCCCTCCCCTCCTCTGCTGCACGCCTCTTCCTTCCCCTCGCCGACCCACTCCACTCCCTGCCCCTCCTCAATCCGCACCCTGCCCCTCGTATCTCGCCCCCCTATGCTTGGTTTCTCCCCTCCCTGCCCCTCGCCGCCTTTCTCCGCTCCCCACCTCCCCCCTCTCCCTGCTCCCCCACTCTCCCCCCCTTGCCCTTGGCTTCCTACCTCCCTGCCCCACCTTTCCCCCCTCCGTGTGCTCAGCTTCTCCCCTCCCTGCCCCTCCCTCCTCCCCGCCCTGCCCCTCATTTTCCGCCCCCCCACGCCCGGTTTCTCCCCTCCCCGCGCCTCCCTTTCTTTCTCCGTGCCTCTCCTTTGCTCCCTCCCTGCCCCCGCCTGCCCATGCCCCTGTCTTTGGCTTCTCCCCTCCCTGCCCCACGTTTCTTCCCTCCCTGCCCCCCCTCTGCCCCTCCCTTGTTTTCCCCTCACCCATTGCTTCTCCCCTCCCTGCCCTTGATTTCCCGCACCCCTGCCCTTGTTTCCTACCATCCATGCCCCTCGTTTCCCCCCTTTGTACGTTCAGCCTCTTCCCTCCCTGCCCCTCCCCTCCTCCCCCCCTGCCCTTTGCGTTCCCCTCGTTACGCTCCCTTCTCCCCATCCCTGCTGCCCTCTTGCCACCATCAGCCCATCCGCACCACCAGCCCCCCTCCCACCCTTCTCTCCCCCCCTCCCTTTCCCTCTCTCTCTCTCTCTCTCTCTCTCTCTCTTTCTCACACACACACGCACACTCCCCTCCCCCACCCCCCACCCACGTCCTCCCATTCCGCCCCTCCCTGCCCCTTTCCCACCCCCTCGCACGCCCCTCACCTCCCACCTCCGTGCAACTGGTTTCCCCCCTATGGTGCCTCCCTTGCATCGCTCGCCCCTCTGCTCACCCTCTGCCCGCCCCTTTTCCGTGCCCTCAGCTGGCCCAGCCCCTGCCCGTTGCTGCCCCTCCCCTTGCCCCCTCAACTCCCCTGCCCCCCGTACACCCCAGTCCCATCCAACCGCCCCCACCCTCCCCCGGCTGCCCGTTTCCGCTCTCCACCCCCGCGACCGTGTGCGGCTTCCAACCGCCCAACGGTGGTGCGCACGGGGCGTTTCTTCGCACGGGCAAGCCTCCCCGGGGGGCCCCCACCCCGCTGAGTCGTTGTTTGGGCAAAAAAACGAAAATAAAAAAAAATCGGACGCGCTAAAATCGTCCTTTCTTTTTCCCGCTTGCCCCTCCCCCGGCACGTGCCGAGCAAGGGGCATAAATGGGTACAACACGAGGACTTCCCGGGAGGTCACCCAGCCCAGTACTGCTCTCGCCCACCGGCGCTTAGCTTCGGAGTTCTGATGGGATCCGGCGTAGTAGCCGAGGTATGATCGTACCACGTCAATCCCGTGCCCCGACCGGTACACACCCCTTGCCCGGGTCCCCCCTTCATAGTCACACCCCCTGCCTCCTCATGCCATCCGCTCCCCCCCGCCCCCACCCTCCGCGTGCCCGCTCCCTTGCCGCCTCTTTTGACCCTCCCTGCCCCCCTCGCCGTTTCCCACCGCCCGCCATTCGCTCCTCCCCGCCCGTGCGCTCCCCTCGTTTACCTTCTCCTCCCCCCTCCCCTCCTCTGCTGCACGCCTCTTCCTTCCCCTCGCCGACCCACTCCACTCCCTGCCCCTCCTCAATCCGCACCCTGCCCCTCGTATCTCGCCCCCCTATGCTTGGTTTCTCCCCTCCCTGCCCCTCGCCGCCTTTCTCCGCTCCCCACCTCCCCCCTCTCCCTGCTCCCCCACTCTCCCCCCCTTGCCCTTGGCTTCCTACCTCCCTGCCCCACCTTTCCCCCCTCCGTGTGCTCAGCTTCTCCCCTCCCTGCCCCTCCCTCCTCCCCGCCCTGCCCCTCATTTTCCGCCCCCCCACGCCCGGTTTCTCCCCTCCCCGCGCCTCCCTTTCTTTCTCCGTGCCTCTCCTTTGCTCCCTCCCTGCCCCCGCCTGCCCATGCCCCTGTCTTTGGCTTCTCCCCTCCCTGCCCCACGTTTCTTCCCTCCCTGCCCCCCCTCTGCCCCTCCCTTGTTTTCCCCTCACCCATTGCTTCTCCCCTCCCTGCCCTTGATTTCCCGCACCCCTGCCCTTGTTTCCTACCATCCATGCCCCTCGTTTCCCCCCTTTGTACGTTCAGCCTCTTCCCTCCCTGCCCCTCCCCTCCTCCCCCCCTGCCCTTTGCGTTCCCCTCGCTTACGCTCCCTTCTCCCCATCCCTGCTGCCCTCTTGCCACCATCAGCCCATCCGCACCACCAGCCCCCCTCCCACCCTTCTCTCCCCCCCTCCCTTTCCCTCTCTCTCTCTCTCTCTCTCTCTTTCTCACACACACACGCACACTCCCCTCCCCCACCCCCCACCCACGTCCTCCCATTCCGCCCCTCCCTGCCCCTTTCCCACCCCCTCGCACGCCCCTCACCTCCCACCTCCGTGCAACTGGTTTCCCCCCTATGGTGCCTCCCTTGCATCGCTCGCCCCTCTGCTCACCCTCTGCCCGCCCCTTTTCCGTGCCCTCAGCTGGCCCAGCCCCTGCCCGTTGCTGCCCCTCCCCTTGCCCCCTCAACTCCCCTGCCCCCCGTACACCCCAGTCCCATCCAACCGCCCCCACCCTCCCCCGGCTGCCCGTTTCCGCTCTCCACCCCCGCGACCGTGTGCGGCTTCCAACCGCCCAACGGTGGTGCGCACGGGGCGTTTCTTCGCACGGGCAAGCCTCCCCGGGGGGCCCCCACCCCGCTGAGTCGTTGTTTGGGCAAAAAAAACGAAAATAAAAAAAATCGGACGCGCTAAAATCGTCCTTTCTTTTTCCCGCTTGCCCCTCCCCCGGCACGTGCCGAGCAAGGGGCATAAATGGGTACAACACGAGGACTTCCCGGGAGGTCACCCAGCCCAGTACTGCTCTCGCCCACCGGCGCTTAGCTTCGGAGTTCTGATGGGATCCGGCGTAGTAGCCGAGGTATGATCGTACCACGTCAATCCCGTGCCCCGACCGGTACACACCCCTTGCCCGGGTCCCCCCTTCATAGTCACACCCCCTGCCTCCTCATGCCATCCGCTCCCCCCCGCCCCCACCCTCCGCGTGCCCGCTCCCTTGCCGCCTCTTTTGACCCTCCCTGCCCCCCTCGCCGTTTCCCACCGCCCGCCATTCGCTCCTCCCCGCCCGTGCGCTCCCCTCGTTTACCTTCTCCTCCCCCCTCCCCTCCTCTGCTGCACGCCTCTTCCTTCCCCTCGCCGACCCACTCCACTCCCTGCCCCTCCTCAATCCGCACCCTGCCCCTCGTATCTCGCCCCCCTATGCTTGGTTTCTCCCCTCCCTGCCCCTCGCCGCCTTTCTCCGCTCCCCACCTCCCCCCTCTCCCTGCTCCCCCACTCTCCCCCCCTTGCCCTTGGCTTCCTACCTCCCTGCCCCACCTTTCCCCCCTCCGTGTGCTCAGCTTCTCCCCTCCCTGCCCCTCCCTCCTCCCCGCCCTGCCCCTCATTTTCCGCCCCCCCACGCCCGGTTTCTCCCCTCCCCGCGCCTCCCTTTCTTTCTCCGTGCCTCTCCTTTGCTCCCTCCCTGCCCCCGCCTGCCCATGCCCCTGTCTTTGGCTTCTCCCCTCCCTGCCCCACGTTTCTTCCCTCCCTGCCCCCCCTCTGCCCCTCCCTTGTTTTCCCCTCACCCATTGCTTCTCCCCTCCCTGCCCTTGATTTCCCGCACCCCTGCCCTTGTTTCCTACCATCCATGCCCCTCGTTTCCCCCCTTTGTACGTTCAGCCTCTTCCCTCCCTGCCCCTCCCCTCCTCCCCCCCTGCCCTTTGCGTTCCCCTCGCTACGCTCCCTTCTCCCCATCCCTGCTGCCCTCTTGCCACCATCAGCCCATCCGCACCACCAGCCCCCCTCCCACCCTTCTCTCCCCCCTCCCTTCCCTCTCTCTCTCTCTCTCTCTCTCTCTCTCTCTCTTTCTCACACACACACGCACACTCCCCTCCCCCACCCCCCACCCACGTCCTCCCATTCCGCCCCTCCCTGCCCCTTTCCCACCCCCTCGCACGCCCCTCACCTCCCACCTCCGTGCAACTGGTTTCCCCCCTATGGTGCCTCCCTTGCATCGCTCGCCCCGCTGCTCACCCTCTGCCCGCCCCTTTTCCGTGCCCTCAGCTGGCCCAGCCCCTGCCCGTTGCTGCCCCTCCCCTTGCCCCCTCAACTCCCCTGCCCCCCGTACACCCCAGTCCCATCCAACCGCCCCCACCCTCCCCCGGCTGCCCGTTTCCGCTCTCCACCCCCGCGACCGTGTGCGGCTTCCAACCGCCCAACGGTGGTGCGCACGGGGCGTTTCTTCGCACGGGCAAGCCTCCCCGGGGGGCCCCCACCCCGCTGAGTCGTTGTTTGGGCAAAAAAAACGAAAATAAAAAAAAATCGGACGCGCTAAAATCGTCCTTTCTTTTTCCCGCTTGCCCCTCCCCCGGCACGTGCCGAGCAAGGGGCATAAATGGGTACAACACGAGGACTTCCCGGGAGGTCACCCAGCCCAGTACTGCTCTCGCCCACCGGCGCTTAGCTTCGGAGTTCTGATGGGATCCGGCGTAGTAGCCGAGGTATGATCGTACCACGTCAATCCCGTGCCCCGACCGGTACACACCCCTTGCCCGGGTCCCCCCTTCATAGTCACACCCCCTGCCTCCTCATGCCATCCGCTCCCCCCCGCCCCCACCCTCCGCGTGCCCGCTCCCTTGCCGCCTCTTTTGACCCTCCCTGCCCCCCTCGCCGTTTCCCACCGCCCGCCATTCGCTCCTCCCCGCCCGTGCGCTCCCCTCGTTTACCTTCTCCTCCCCCCTCCCCTCCTCTGCTGCACGCCTCTTCCTTCCCCTCGCCGACCCACTCCACTCCCTGCCCCTCCTCAATCCGCACCCTGCCCCTCGTATCTCGCCCCCCTATGCTTGGTTTCTCCCCTCCCTGCCCCTCGCCGCCTTTCTCCGCTCCCCACCTCCCCCCTCTCCCTGCTCCCCCACTCTCCCCCCCTTGCCCTTGGCTTCCTACCTCCCTGCCCCACCTTTCCCCCCTCCGTGTGCTCAGCTTCTCCCCTCCCTGCCCCTCCCTCCTCCCCGCCCTGCCCCTCATTTTCCGCCCCCCCACGCCCGGTTTCTCCCCTCCCCGCGCCTCCCTTTCTTTCTCCGTGCCTCTCCTTTGCTCCCTCCCTGCCCCCGCCTGCCCATGCCCCTGTCTTTGGCTTCTCCCCTCCCTGCCCCACGTTTCTTCCCTCCCTGCCCCCCCTCTGCCCCTCCCTTGTTTTCCCCTCACCCATTGCTTCTCCCCTCCCTGCCCTTGATTTCCCGCACCCCTGCCCTTGTTTCCTACCATCCATGCCCCTCGTTTCCCCCCTTTGTACGTTCAGCCTCTTCCCTCCCTGCCCCTCCCCTCCTCCCCCCCTGCCCTTTGCGTTCCCCTCGTTACGCTCCCTTCTCCCCATCCCTGCTGCCCTCTTGCCACCATCAGCCCATCCGCACCACCAGCCCCCCTCCCACCCTTCTCTCCCCCCCTCCCTTTCCCTCTCTCTCTCTCTCTCTCTCTCTCTCTCTCTCTTCTCACACACACACGCACACTCCCCTCCCCCACCCCCCACCCACGTCCTCCCATTCCGCCCCTCCCTGCCCCTTTCCCACCCCCTCGCACGCCCCTCACCTCCCACCTCCGTGCAACTGGTTTCCCCCCTATGGTGCCTCCCTTGCATCGCTCGCCCCGCTGCTCACCCTCTGCCCGCCCCTTTTCCGTGCCCTCAGCTGGCCCAGCCCCTGCCCGTTGCTGCCCCTCCCCTTGCCCCCTCAACTCCCCTGCCCCCCGTACACCCCAGTCCCATCCAACCGCCCCCACCCTCCCCCGGCTGCCCGTTTCCGCTCTCCACCCCCGCGACCGTGTGCGGCTTCCAACCGCCCAACGGTGGTGCGCACGGGGCGTTTCTTCGCACGGGCAAGCCTCCCCGGGGGGCCCCCACCCCGCTGAGTCGTTGTTTGGGCAAAAAAACGAAAATAAAAAAAAATCGGACGCGCTAAAATCGTCCTTTCTTTTTCCCGCTTGCCCCTCCCCCGGCACGTGCCGAGCAAGGGGCATAAATGGGTACAACACGAGGACTTCCCGGGAGGTCACCCAGCCCAGTACTGCTCTCGCCCACCGGCGCTTAGCTTCGGAGTTCTGATGGGATCCGGCGTAGTAGCCGAGGTATGATCGTACCACGTCAATCCCGTGCCCCGACCGGTACACACCCCTTGCCCGGGTCCCCCCTTCATAGTCACACCCCCTGCCTCCTCATGCCATCCGCTCCCCCCCGCCCCCACCCTCCGCGTGCCCGCTCCCTTGCCGCCTCTTTTGACCCTCCCTGCCCCCCTCGCCGTTTCCCACCGCCCGCCATTCGCTCCTCCCCGCCCGTGCGCTCCCCTCGTTTACCTTCTCCTCCCCCCTTCCCCTCCTCTGCTGCACGCCTCTTCCTTCCCCTCGCCGACCCACTCCACTCCCTGCCCCTCCTCAATCCGCACCCTGCCCCTCGTATCTCGCCCCCCTATGCTTGGTTTCTCCCCTCCCTGCCCCTCGCCGCCTTTCTCCGCTCCCCACCTCCCCCCTCTCCCTGCTCCCCCACTCTCCCCCCCTTGCCCTTGGCTTCCTACCTCCCTGCCCCACCTTTCCCCCCTCCGTGTGCTCAGCTTCTCCCCTCCCTGCCCCTCCCTCCTCCCCGCCCTGCCCCTCATTTTCCGCCCCCCCACGCCCGGTTTCTCCCCTCCCCGCGCCTCCCTTTCTTTCTCCGTGCCTCTCCTTTGCTCCCTCCCTGCCCCCGCCTGCCCATGCCCCTGTCTTTGGCTTCTCCCCTCCCTGCCCCACGTTTCTTCCCTCCCTGCCCCCCCTCTGCCCCTCCCTTGTTTTCCCCTCACCCATTGCTTCTCCCCTCCCTGCCCTTGATTTCCCGCACCCCTGCCCTTGTTTCCTACCATCCATGCCCCTCGTTTCCCCCCTTTGTACGTTCAGCCTCTTCCCTCCCTGCCCCTCCCCTCCTCCCCCCCTGCCCTTTGCGTTCCCCTCGTTACGCTCCCTTCTCCCCATCCCTGCTGCCCTCTTGCCACCATCAGCCCATCCGCACCACCAGCCCCCCTCCCACCCTTCTCTCCCCCCCTCCCTTTCCCTCTCTCTCTCTCTCTCTCTCTCTCTCTCTCTTTCTCACACACACACGCACACTCCCCTCCCCCACCCCCCACCCACGTCCTCCCATTCCGCCCCTCCCTGCCCCTTTCCCACCCCCTCGCACGCCCCTCACCTCCCACCTCCGTGCAACTGGTTTCCCCCCTATGGTGCCTCCCTTGCATCGCTCGCCCCTCTGCTCACCCTCTGCCCGCCCCTTTTCCGTGCCCTCAGCTGGCCCAGCCCCTGCCCGTTGCTGCCCCTCCCCTTGCCCCCTCAACTCCCCTGCTCCCCGTACACCCCAGTCCCATCCAACCGCCCCCACCCTCCCCCGGCTGCCCGTTTCCGCTCTCCACCCCCGCGACCGTGTGCGGCTTCCAACCGCCCAACGGTGGTGCGCACGGGGCGTTTCTTCGCACGGGCAAGCCTCCCCGGGGGGCCCCCACCCCGCTGAGTCGTTGTTTGGGCAAAAAAACGAAAATAAAAAAAAATCGGACGCGCTAAAATCGTCCTTTCTTTTTCCCGCTTGCCCCTCCCCCGGCACGTGCCGAGCAAGGGGCATAAATGGGTACAACACGAGGACTTCCCGGGAGGTCACCCAGCCCAGTACTGCTCTCGCCCACCGGCGCTTAGCTTCGGAGTTCTGATGGGATCCGGCGTAGTAGCCGAGGTATGATCGTACCACGTCAATCCCGTGCCCCGACCGGTACACACCCCTTGCCCGGGTCCCCCCTTCATAGTCACACCCCCTGCCTCCTCATGCCATCCGCTCCCCCCCGCCCCCACCCTCCGCGTGCCCGCTCCCTTGCCGCCTCTTTTGACCCTCCCTGCCCCCCTCGCCGTTTCCCACCGCCCGCCATTCGCTCCTCCCCGCCCGTGCGCTCCCCTCGTTTACCTTCTCCTCCCCCCTCCCCTCCTCTGCTGCACGCCTCTTCCTTCCCCTCGCCGACCCACTCCACTCCCTGCCCCTCCTCAATCCGCACCCTGCCCCTCGTATCTCGCCCCCCTATGCTTGGTTTCTCCCCTCCCTGCCCCTCGCCGCCTTTCTCCGCTCCCCACCTCCCCCCTCTCCCTGCTCCCCCACTCTCCCCCCCTTGCCCTTGGCTTCCTACCTCCCTGCCCCACCTTTCCCCCCTCCGTGTGCTCAGCTTCTCCCCTCCCTGCCCCTCCCTCCTCCCCGCCCTGCCCCTCATTTTCCGCCCCCCCACGCCCGGTTTCTCCCCTCCCCGCGCCTCCCTTTCTTTCTCCGTGCCTCTCCTTTGCTCCCTCCCTGCCCCCGCCTGCCCATGCCCCTGTCTTTGGCTTCTCCCCTCCCTGCCCCACGTTTCTTCCCTCCCTGCCCCCCCTCTGCCCCTCCCTTGTTTTCCCCTCACCCATTGCTTCTCCCCTCCCTGCCCTTGATTTCCCGCACCCCTGCCCTTGTTTCCTACCATCCATGCCCCTCGTTTCCCCCCTTTGTACGTTCAGCCTCTTCCCTCCCTGCCCCTCCCCTCCTCCCCCCCTGCCCTTTGCGTTCCCCTCGCTTACGCTCCCTTCTCCCCATCCCTGCTGCCCTCTTGCCACCATCAGCCCATCCGCACCACCAGCCCCCCTCCCACCCTTCTCTCCCCCCCTCCCTTTCCCTCTCTCTCTCTCTCTCTCTCTCTTTCTCACACACACACGCACACTCCCCTCCCCCACCCCCCACCCACGTCCTCCCATTCCGCCCCTCCCTGCCCCTTTCCCACCCCCTCGCACGCCCCTCACCTCCCACCTCCGTGCAACTGGTTTCCCCCCTATGGTGCCTCCCTTGCATCGCTCGCCCCTCTGCTCACCCTCTGCCCGCCCCTTTTCCGTGCCCTCAGCTGGCCCAGCCCCTGCCCGTTGCTGCCCCTCCCCTTGCCCCCTCAACTCCCCTGCCCCCCGTACACCCCAGTCCCATCCAACCGCCCCCACCCTCCCCCGGCTGCCCGTTTCCGCTCTCCACCCCCGCGACCGTGTGCGGCTTCCAACCGCCCAACGGTGGTGCGCACGGGGCGTTTCTTCGCACGGGCAAGCCTCCCCGGGGGGCCCCCACCCCGCTGAGTCGTTGTTTGGGCAAAAAAACGAAAATAAAAAAAATCGGACGCGCTAAAATCGTCCTTTCTTTTTCCCGCTTGCCCCTCCCCCGGCACGTGCCGAGCAAGGGGCATAAATGGGTACAACACGAGGACTTCCCGGGAGGTCACCCAGCCCAGTACTGCTCTCGCCCACCGGCGCTTAGCTTCGGAGTTCTGATGGGATCCGGCGTAGTAGCCGAGGTATGATCGTACCACGTCAATCCCGTGCCCCGACCGGTACACACCCCTTGCCCGGGTCCCCCCTTCATAGTCACACCCCCTGCCTCCTCATGCCATCCGCTCCCCCCCGCCCCCACCCTCCGCGTGCCCGCTCCCTTGCCGCCTCTTTTGACCCTCCCTGCCCCCCTCGCCGTTTCCCACCGCCCGCCATTCGCTCCTCCCCGCCCGTGCGCTCCCCTCGTTTACCTTCTCCTCCCCCCTCCCCTCCTCTGCTGCACGCCTCTTCCTTCCCCTCGCCGACCCACTCCACTCCCTGCCCCTCCTCAATCCGCACCCTGCCCCTCGTATCTCGCCCCCCTATGCTTGGTTTCTCCCCTCCCTGCCCCTCGCCGCCTTTCTCCGCTCCCCACCTCCCCCCTCTCCCTGCTCCCCCACTCTCCCCCCCTTGCCCTTGGCTTCCTACCTCCCTGCCCCACCTTTCCCCCCTCCGTGTGCTCAGCTTCTCCCCTCCCTGCCCCTCCCTCCTCCCCGCCCTGCCCCTCATTTTCCGCCCCCCCACGCCCGGTTTCTCCCCTCCCCGCGCCTCCCTTTCTTTCTCCGTGCCTCTCCTTTGCTCCCTCCCTGCCCCCGCCTGCCCATGCCCCTGTCTTTGGCTTCTCCCCTCCCTGCCCCACGTTTCTTCCCTCCCTGCCCCCCCTCTGCCCCTCCCTTGTTTTCCCCTCACCCATTGCTTCTCCCCTCCCTGCCCTTGATTTCCCGCACCCCTGCCCTTGTTTCCTACCATCCATGCCCCTCGTTTCCCCCCTTTGTACGTTCAGCCTCTTCCCTCCCTGCCCCTCCCCTCCTCCCCCCCTGCCCTTTGCGTTCCCCTCGTTACGCTCCCTTCTCCCCATCCCTGCTGCCCTCTTGCCACCATCAGCCCATCCGCACCACCAGCCCCCCTCCCACCCTTCTCTCCCCCCCTCCCTTTCCCTCTCTCTCTCTCTCTCTCTCTCTTTCTCACACACACACGCACACTCCCCTCCCCCACCCCCCACCCACGTCCTCCCATTCCGCCCCTCCCTGCCCCTTTCCCACCCCCTCGCACGCCCCTCACCTCCCACCTCCGTGCAACTGGTTTCCCCCCTATGGTGCCTCCCTTGCATCGCTCGCCCCTCTGCTCACCCTCTGCCCGCCCCTTTTCCGTGCCCTCAGCTGGCCCAGCCCCTGCCCGTTGCTGCCCCTCCCCTTGCCCCCTCAACTCCCCTGCCCCCCGTACACCCCAGTCCCATCCAACCGCCCCCACCCTCCCCCGGCTGCCCGTTTCCGCTCTCCACCCCCGCGACCGTGTGCGGCTTCCAACCGCCCAACGGTGGTGCGCACGGGGCGTTTCTTCGCACGGGCAAGCCTCCCCGGGGGGCCCCCACCCCGCTGAGTCGTTGTTTGGGCAAAAAAACGAAAATAAAAAAAAATCGGACGCGCTAAAATCGTCCTTTCTTTTTCCCGCTTGCCCCTCCCCCGGCACGTGCCGAGCAAGGGGCATAAATGGGTACAACACGAGGACTTCCCGGGAGGTCACCCAGCCCAGTACTGCTCTCGCCCACCGGCGCTTAGCTTCGGAGTTCTGATGGGATCCGGCGTAGTAGCCGAGGTATGATCGTACCACGTCAATCCCGTGCCCCGACCGGTACACACCCCTTGCCCGGGTCCCCCCTTCATAGTCACACCCCCTGCCTCCTCATGCCATCCGCTCCCCCCCGCCCCCACCCTCCGCGTGCCCGCTCCCTTGCCGCCTCTTTTGACCCTCCCTGCCCCCCTCGCCGTTTCCCACCGCCCGCCATTCGCTCCTCCCCGCCCGTGCGCTCCCCTCGTTTACCTTCTCCTCCCCCCTCCCCTCCTCTGCTGCACGCCTCTTCCTTCCCCTCGCCGACCCACTCCACTCCCTGCCCCTCCTCAATCCGCACCCTGCCCCTCGTATCTCGCCCCCCTATGCTTGGTTTCTCCCCTCCCTGCCCCTCGCCGCCTTTCTCCGCTCCCCACCTCCCCCCTCTCCCTGCTCCCCCACTCTCCCCCCCTTGCCCTTGGCTTCCTACCTCCCTGCCCCACCTTTCCCCCCTCCGTGTGCTCAGCTTCTCCCCTCCCTGCCCCTCCCTCCTCCCCGCCCTGCCCCTCATTTTCCGCCCCCCCACGCCCGGTTTCTCCCCTCCCCGCGCCTCCCTTTCTTTCTCCGTGCCTCTCCTTTGCTCCCTCCCTGCCCCCGCCTGCCCATGCCCCTGTCTTTGGCTTCTCCCCTCCCTGCCCCACGTTTCTTCCCTCCCTGCCCCCCCTCTGCCCCTCCCTTGTTTTCCCCTCACCCATTGCTTCTCCCCTCCCTGCCCTTGATTTCCCGCACCCCTGCCCTTGTTTCCTACCATCCATGCCCCTCGTTTCCCCCCTTTGTACGTTCAGCCTCTTCCCTCCCTGCCCCTCCCCTCCTCCCCCCCTGCCCTTTGCGTTCCCCTCGCTACGCTCCCTTCTCCCCATCCCTGCTGCCCTCTTGCCACCATCAGCCCATCCGCACCACCAGCCCCCCTCCCACCCTTCTCTCCCCCCCTCCCTTTCCCTCTCTCTCTCTCTCTCTCTCTCTCTTTCTCACACACACACGCACACTCCCCTCCCCCACCCCCCACCCACGTCCTCCCATTCCGCCCCTCCCTGCCCCTTTCCCACCCCCTCGCACGCCCCTCACCTCCCACCTCCGTGCAACTGGTTTCCCCCCTATGGTGCCTCCCTTGCATCGCTCGCCCCGCTGCTCACCCTCTGCCCGCCCCTTTTCCGTGCCCTCAGCTGGCCCAGCCCCTGCCCGTTGCTGCCCCTCCCCTTGCCCCCTCAACTCCCCTGCCCCCCGTACACCCCAGTCCCATCCAACCGCCCCCACCCTCCCCCGGCTGCCCGTTTCCGCTCTCCACCCCCGCGACCGTGTGCGGCTTCCAACCGCCCAACGGTGGTGCGCACGGGGCGTTTCTTCGCACGGGCAAGCCTCCCCGGGGGGCCCCCACCCCGCTGAGTCGTTGTTTGGGCAAAAAAAACGAAAATAAAAAAAAATCGGACGCGCTAAAATCGTCCTTTCTTTTTCCCGCTTGCCCCTCCCCCGGCACGTGCCGAGCAAGGGGCATAAATGGGTACAACACGAGGACTTCCCGGGAGGTCACCCAGCCCAGTACTGCTCTCGCCCACCGGCGCTTAGCTTCGGAGTTCTGATGGGATCCGGCGTAGTAGCCGAGGTATGATCGTACCACGTCAATCCCGTGCCCCGACCGGTACACACCCCTTGCCCGGGTCCCCCCTTCATAGTCACACCCCCTGCCTCCTCATGCCATCCGCTCCCCCCCGCCCCCACCCTCCGCGTGCCCGCTCCCTTGCCGCCTCTTTTGACCCTCCCTGCCCCCCTCGCCGTTTCCCACCGCCCGCCATTCGCTCCTCCCCGCCCGTGCGCTCCCCTCGTTTACCTTCTCCTCCCCCCTCCCCTCCTCTGCTGCACGCCTCTTCCTTCCCCTCGCCGACCCACTCCACTCCCTGCCCCTCCTCAATCCGCACCCTGCCCCTCGTATCTCGCCCCCCTATGCTTGGTTTCTCCCCTCCCTGCCCCTCGCCGCCTTTCTCCGCTCCCCACCTCCCCCCTCTCCCTGCTCCCCCACTCTCCCCCCCTTGCCCTTGGCTTCCTACCTCCCTGCCCCACCTTTCCCCCCTCCGTGTGCTCAGCTTCTCCCCTCCCTGCCCCTCCCTCCTCCCCGCCCTGCCCCTCATTTTCCGCCCCCCCACGCCCGGTTTCTCCCCTCCCCGCGCCTCCCTTTCTTTCTCCGTGCCTCTCCTTTGCTCCCTCCCTGCCCCCGCCTGCCCATGCCCCTGTCTTTGGCTTCTCCCCTCCCTGCCCCACGTTTCTTCCCTCCCTGCCCCCCCTCTGCCCCTCCCTTGTTTTCCCCTCACCCATTGCTTCTCCCCTCCCTGCCCTTGATTTCCCGCACCCCTGCCCTTGTTTCCTACCATCCATGCCCCTCGTTTCCCCCCTTTGTACGTTCAGCCTCTTCCCTCCCTGCCCCTCCCCTCCTCCCCCCCTGCCCTTTGCGTTCCCCTCGTTACGCTCCCTTCTCCCCATCCCTGCTGCCCTCTTGCCACCATCAGCCCATCCGCACCACCAGCCCCCCTCCCACCCTTCTCTCCCCCCTCCCTTCCCTCTCTCTCTCTCTCTCTCTCTCTCTCTCTCTCTCTTTCTCACACACACACGCACACTCCCCTCCCCCACCCCCCACCCACGTCCTCCCATTCCGCCCCTCCCTGCCCCTTTCCCACCCCCTCGCACGCCCCTCACCTCCCACCTCCGTGCAACTGGTTTCCCCCCTATGGTGCCTCCCTTGCATCGCTCGCCCCGCTGCTCACCCTCTGCCCGCCCCTTTTCCGTGCCCTCAGCTGGCCCAGCCCCTGCCCGTTGCTGCCCCTCCCCTTGCCCCCTCAACTCCCCTGCCCCCCGTACACCCCAGTCCCATCCAACCGCCCCCACCCTCCCCCGGCTGCCCGTTTCCGCTCTCCACCCCCGCGACCGTGTGCGGCTTCCAACCGCCCAACGGTGGTGCGCACGGGGCGTTTCTTCGCACGGGCAAGCCTCCCCGGGGGGCCCCCACCCCGCTGAGTCGTTGTTTGGGCAAAAAAACGAAAATAAAAAAAAATCGGACGCGCTAAAATCGTCCTTTCTTTTTCCCGCTTGCCCCTCCCCCGGCACGTGCCGAGCAAGGGGCATAAATGGGTACAACACGAGGACTTCCCGGGAGGTCACCCAGCCCAGTACTGCTCTCGCCCACCGGCGCTTAGCTTCGGAGTTCTGATGGGATCCGGCGTAGTAGCCGAGGTATGATCGTACCACGTCAATCCCGTGCCCCGACCGGTACACACCCCTTGCCCGGGTCCCCCCTTCATAGTCACACCCCCTGCCTCCTCATGCCATCCGCTCCCCCCCGCCCCCACCCTCCGCGTGCCCGCTCCCTTGCCGCCTCTTTTGACCCTCCCTGCCCCCCTCGCCGTTTCCCACCGCCCGCCATTCGCTCCTCCCCGCCCGTGCGCTCCCCTCGTTTACCTTCTCCTCCCCCCTCCCCTCCTCTGCTGCACGCCTCTTCCTTCCCCTCGCCGACCCACTCCACTCCCTGCCCCTCCTCAATCCGCACCCTGCCCCTCGTATCTCGCCCCCCTATGCTTGGTTTCTCCCCTCCCTGCCCCTCGCCGCCTTTCTCCGCTCCCCACCTCCCCCCTCTCCCTGCTCCCCCACTCTCCCCCCCTTGCCCTTGGCTTCCTACCTCCCTGCCCCACCTTTCCCCCCTCCGTGTGCTCAGCTTCTCCCCTCCCTGCCCCTCCCTCCTCCCCGCCCTGCCCCTCATTTTCCGCCCCCCCACGCCCGGTTTCTCCCCTCCCCGCGCCTCCCTTTCTTTCTCCGTGCCTCTCCTTTGCTCCCTCCCTGCCCCCGCCTGCCCATGCCCCTGTCTTTGGCTTCTCCCCTCCCTGCCCCACGTTTCTTCCCTCCCTGCCCCCCCTCTGCCCCTCCCTTGTTTTCCCCTCACCCATTGCTTCTCCCCTCCCTGCCCTTGATTTCCCGCACCCCTGCCCTTGTTTCCTACCATCCATGCCCCTCGTTTCCCCCCTTTGTACGTTCAGCCTCTTCCCTCCCTGCCCCTCCCCTCCTCCCCCCCTGCCCTTTGCGTTCCCCTCGTTACGCTCCCTTCTCCCCATCCCTGCTGCCCTCTTGCCACCATCAGCCCATCCGCACCACCAGCCCCCCTCCCACCCTTCTCTCCCCCCCTCCCTTTCCCTCTCTCTCTCTCTCTCTCTCTCTCTCTCTCTCTCTCTTTCTCACACACACACGCACACTCCCCTCCCCCACCCCCCACCCACGTCCTCCCATTCCGCCCCTCCCTGCCCCTTTCCCACCCCCTCGCACGCCCCTCACCTCCCACCTCCGTGCAACTGGTTTCCCCCCTATGGTGCCTCCCTTGCATCGCTCGCCCCGCTGCTCACCCTCTGCCCGCCCCTTTTCCGTGCCCTCAGCTGGCCCAGCCCCTGCCCGTTGCTGCCCCTCCCCTTGCCCCCTCAACTCCCCTGCCCCCCGTACACCCCAGTCCCATCCAACCGCCCCCACCCTCCCCCGGCTGCCCGTTTCCGCTCTCCACCCCCGCGACCGTGTGCGGCTTCCAACCGCCCAACGGTGGTGCGCACGGGGCGTTTCTTCGCACGGGCAAGCCTCCCCGGGGGGCCCCCACCCCGCTGAGTCGTTGTTTGGGCAAAAAAACGAAAATAAAAAAAAATCGGACGCGCTAAAATCGTCCTTTCTTTTTCCCGCTTGCCCCTCCCCCGGCACGTGCCGAGCAAGGGGCATAAATGGGTACAACACGAGGACTTCCCGGGAGGTCACCCAGCCCAGTACTGCTCTCGCCCACCGGCGCTTAGCTTCGGAGTTCTGATGGGATCCGGCGTAGTAGCCGAGGTATGATCGTACCACGTCAATCCCGTGCCCCGACCGGTACACACCCCTTGCCCGGGTCCCCCCTTCATAGTCACACCCCCTGCCTCCTCATGCCATCCGCTCCCCCCCGCCCCCACCCTCCGCGTGCCCGCTCCCTTGCCGCCTCTTTTGACCCTCCCTGCCCCCCTCGCCGTTTCCCACCGCCCGCCATTCGCTCCTCCCCGCCCGTGCGCTCCCCTCGTTTACCTTCTCCTCCCCCCTCCCCTCCTCTGCTGCACGCCTCTTCCTTCCCCTCGCCGACCCACTCCACTCCCTGCCCCTCCTCAATCCGCACCCTGCCCCTCGTATCTCGCCCCCCTATGCTTGGTTTCTCCCCTCCCTGCCCCTCGCCGCCTTTCTCCGCTCCCCACCTCCCCCCTCTCCCTGCTCCCCCACTCTCCCCCCCTTGCCCTTGGCTTCCTACCTCCCTGCCCCACCTTTCCCCCCTCCGTGTGCTCAGCTTCTCCCCTCCCTGCCCCTCCCTCCTCCCCGCCCTGCCCCTCATTTTCCGCCCCCCCACGCCCGGTTTCTCCCCTCCCCGCGCCTCCCTTTCTTTCTCCGTGCCTCTCCTTTGCTCCCTCCCTGCCCCCGCCTGCCCATGCCCCTGTCTTTGGCTTCTCCCCTCCCTGCCCCACGTTTCTTCCCTCCCTGCCCCCCCTCTGCCCCTCCCTTGTTTTCCCCTCACCCATTGCTTCTCCCCTCCCTGCCCTTGATTTCCCGCACCCCTGCCCTTGTTTCCTACCATCCATGCCCCTCGTTTCCCCCCTTTGTACGTTCAGCCTCTTCCCTCCCTGCCCCTCCCCTCCTCCCCCCCTGCCCTTTGCGTTCCCCTCGCTTACGCTCCCTTCTCCCCATCCCTGCTGCCCTCTTGCCACCATCAGCCCATCCGCACCACCAGCCCCCCTCCCACCCTTCTCTCCCCCCCTCCCTTTCCCTCTCTCTCTCTCTCTCTCTCTCTCTCTTTCTCACACACACACGCACACTCCCCTCCCCCACCCCCCACCCACGTCCTCCCATTCCGCCCCTCCCTGCCCCTTTCCCACCCCCTCGCACGCCCCTCACCTCCCACCTCCGTGCAACTGGTTTCCCCCCTATGGTGCCTCCCTTGCATCGCTCGCCCCTCTGCTCACCCTCTGCCCGCCCCTTTTCCGTGCCCTCAGCTGGCCCAGCCCCTGCCCGTTGCTGCCCCTCCCCTTGCCCCCTCAACTCCCCTGCCCCCCGTACACCCCAGTCCCATCCAACCGCCCCCACCCTCCCCCGGCTGCCCGTTTCCGCTCTCCACCCCCGCGACCGTGTGCGGCTTCCAACCGCCCAACGGTGGTGCGCACGGGGCGTTTCTTCGCACGGGCAAGCCTCCCCGGGGGGCCCCCACCCCGCTGAGTCGTTGTTTGGGCAAAAAAAACGAAAATAAAAAAAAATCGGACGCGCTAAAATCGTCCTTTCTTTTTCCCGCTTGCCCCTCCCCCGGCACGTGCCGAGCAAGGGGCATAAATGGGTACAACACGAGGACTTCCCGGGAGGTCACCCAGCCCAGTACTGCTCTCGCCCACCGGCGCTTAGCTTCGGAGTTCTGATGGGATCCGGCGTAGTAGCCGAGGTATGATCGTACCACGTCAATCCCGTGCCCCGACCGGTACACACCCCTTGCCCGGGTCCCCCCTTCATAGTCACACCCCCTGCCTCCTCATGCCATCCGCTCCCCCCCGCCCCCACCCTCCGCGTGCCCGCTCCCTTGCCGCCTCTTTTGACCCTCCCTGCCCCCCTCGCCGTTTCCCACCGCCCGCCATTCGCTCCTCCCCGCCCGTGCGCTCCCCTCGTTTACCTTCTCCTCCCCCCTCCCCTCCTCTGCTGCACGCCTCTTCCTTCCCCTCGCCGACCCACTCCACTCCCTGCCCCTCCTCAATCCGCACCCTGCCCCTCGTATCTCGCCCCCCTATGCTTGGTTTCTCCCCTCCCTGCCCCTCGCCGCCTTTCTCCGCTCCCCACCTCCCCCCTCTCCCTGCTCCCCCACTCTCCCCCCCTTGCCCTTGGCTTCCTACCTCCCTGCCCCACCTTTCCCCCCTCCGTGTGCTCAGCTTCTCCCCTCCCTGCCCCTCCCTCCTCCCCGCCCTGCCCCTCATTTTCCGCCCCCCCACGCCCGGTTTCTCCCCTCCCCGCGCCTCCCTTTCTTTCTCCGTGCCTCTCCTTTGCTCCCTCCCTGCCCCCGCCTGCCCATGCCCCTGTCTTTGGCTTCTCCCCTCCCTGCCCCACGTTTCTTCCCTCCCTGCCCCCCCTCTGCCCCTCCCTTGTTTTCCCCTCACCCATTGCTTCTCCCCTCCCTGCCCTTGATTTCCCGCACCCCTGCCCTTGTTTCCTACCATCCATGCCCCTCGTTTCCCCCCTTTGTACGTTCAGCCTCTTCCCTCCCTGCCCCTCCCCTCCTCCCCCCCTGCCCTTTGCGTTCCCCTCGCTACGCTCCCTTCTCCCCATCCCTGCTGCCCTCTTGCCACCATCAGCCCATCCGCACCACCAGCCCCCCTCCCACCCTTCTCTCCCCCCCTCCCTTTCCCTCTCTCTCTCTCTCTCTCTCTCTTTCTCACACACACACGCACACTCCCCTCCCCCACCCCCCACCCACGTCCTCCCATTCCGCCCCTCCCTGCCCCTTTCCCACCCCCTCGCACGCCCCTCACCTCCCACCTCCGTGCAACTGGTTTCCCCCCTATGGTGCCTCCCTTGCATCGCTCGCCCCGCTGCTCACCCTCTGCCCGCCCCTTTTCCGTGCCCTCAGCTGGCCCAGCCCCTGCCCGTTGCTGCCCCTCCCCTTGCCCCCTCAACTCCCCTGCCCCCCGTACACCCCAGTCCCATCCAACCGCCCCCACCCTCCCCCGGCTGCCCGTTTCCGCTCTCCACCCCCGCGACCGTGTGCGGCTTCCAACCGCCCAACGGTGGTGCGCACGGGGCGTTTCTTCGCACGGGCAAGCCTCCCCGGGGGGCCCCCACCCCGCTGAGTCGTTGTTTGGGCAAAAAAACGAAAATAAAAAAAAATCGGACGCGCTAAAATCGTCCTTTCTTTTTCCCGCTTGCCCCTCCCCCGGCACGTGCCGAGCAAGGGGCATAAATGGGTACAACACGAGGACTTCCCGGGAGGTCACCCAGCCCAGTACTGCTCTCGCCCACCGGCGCTTAGCTTCGGAGTTCTGATGGGATCCGGCGTAGTAGCCGAGGTATGATCGTACCACGTCAATCCCGTGCCCCGACCGGTACACACCCCTTGCCCGGGTCCCCCCTTCATAGTCACACCCCCTGCCTCCTCATGCCATCCGCTCCCCCCCGCCCCCACCCTCCGCGTGCCCGCTCCCTTGCCGCCTCTTTTGACCCTCCCTGCCCCCCTCGCCGTTTCCCACCGCCCGCCATTCGCTCCTCCCCGCCCGTGCGCTCCCCTCGTTTACCTTCTCCTCCCCCCTCCCCTCCTCTGCTGCACGCCTCTTCCTTCCCCTCGCCGACCCACTCCACTCCCTGCCCCTCCTCAATCCGCACCCTGCCCCTCGTATCTCGCCCCCCTATGCTTGGTTTCTCCCCTCCCTGCCCCTCGCCGCCTTTCTCCGCTCCCCACCTCCCCCCTCTCCCTGCTCCCCCACTCTCCCCCCCTTGCCCTTGGCTTCCTACCTCCCTGCCCCACCTTTCCCCCCTCCGTGTGCTCAGCTTCTCCCCTCCCTGCCCCTCCCTCCTCCCCGCCCTGCCCCTCATTTTCCGCCCCCCCACGCCCGGTTTCTCCCCTCCCCGCGCCTCCCTTTCTTTCTCCGTGCCTCTCCTTTGCTCCCTCCCTGCCCCCGCCTGCCCATGCCCCTGTCTTTGGCTTCTCCCCTCCCTGCCCCACGTTTCTTCCCTCCCTGCCCCCCCTCTGCCCCTCCCTTGTTTTCCCCTCACCCATTGCTTCTCCCCTCCCTGCCCTTGATTTCCCGCACCCCTGCCCTTGTTTCCTACCATCCATGCCCCTCGTTTCCCCCCTTTGTACGTTCAGCCTCTTCCCTCCCTGCCCCTCCCCTCCTCCCCCCCTGCCCTTTGCGTTCCCCTCGTTACGCTCCCTTCTCCCCATCCCTGCTGCCCTCTTGCCACCATCAGCCCATCCGCACCACCAGCCCCCCTCCCACCCTTCTCTCCCCCCCCTCCTTCCCTCTCTCTCTCTCTCTCTCTCTCTCTCTCTCTCTTTCTCACACACACACGCACACTCCCCTCCCCCACCCCCCACCCACGTCCTCCCATTCCGCCCCTCCCTGCCCCTTTCCCACCCCCTCGCACGCCCCTCACCTCCCACCTCCGTGCAACTGGTTTCCCCCCTATGGTGCCTCCCTTGCATCGCTCGCCCCGCTGCTCACCCTCTGCCCGCCCCTTTTCCGTGCCCTCAGCTGGCCCAGCCCCTGCCCGTTGCTGCCCCTCCCCTTGCCCCCTCAACTCCCCTGCCCCCCGTACACCCCAGTCCCATCCAACCGCCCCCACCCTCCCCCGGCTGCCCGTTTCCGCTCTCCACCCCCGCGACCGTGTGCGGCTTCCAACCGCCCAACGGTGGTGCGCACGGGGCGTTTCTTCGCACGGGCAAGCCTCCCCGGGGGGCCCCCACCCCGCTGAGTCGTTGTTTGGGCAAAAAAAACGAAAATAAAAAAAAATCGGACGCGCTAAAATCGTCCTTTCTTTTTCCCGCTTGCCCCTCCCCCGGCACGTGCCGAGCAAGGGGCATAAATGGGTACAACACGAGGACTTCCCGGGAGGTCACCCAGCCCAGTACTGCTCTCGCCCACCGGCGCTTAGCTTCGGAGTTCTGATGGGATCCGGCGTAGTAGCCGAGGTATGATCGTACCACGTCAATCCCGTGCCCCGACCGGTACACACCCCTTGCCCGGGTCCCCCCTTCATAGTCACACCCCCTGCCTCCTCATGCCATCCGCTCCCCCCCGCCCCCACCCTCCGCGTGCCCGCTCCCTTGCCGCCTCTTTTGACCCTCCCTGCCCCCCTCGCCGTTTCCCACCGCCCGCCATTCGCTCCTCCCCGCCCGTGCGCTCCCCTCGTTTACCTTCTCCTCCCCCCTCCCCTCCTCTGCTGCACGCCTCTTCCTTCCCCTCGCCGACCCACTCCACTCCCTGCCCCTCCTCAATCCGCACCCTGCCCCTCGTATCTCGCCCCCCTATGCTTGGTTTCTCCCCTCCCTGCCCCTCGCCGCCTTTCTCCGCTCCCCACCTCCCCCCTCTCCCTGCTCCCCCACTCTCCCCCCCTTGCCCTTGGCTTCCTACCTCCCTGCCCCACCTTTCCCCCCTCCGTGTGCTCAGCTTCTCCCCTCCCTGCCCCTCCCTCCTCCCCGCCCTGCCCCTCATTTTCCGCCCCCCCACGCCCGGTTTCTCCCCTCCCCGCGCCTCCCTTTCTTTCTCCGTGCCTCTCCTTTGCTCCCTCCCTGCCCCCGCCTGCCCATGCCCCTGTCTTTGGCTTCTCCCCTCCCTGCCCCACGTTTCTTCCCTCCCTGCCCCCCCTCTGCCCCTCCCTTGTTTTCCCCTCACCCATTGCTTCTCCCCTCCCTGCCCTTGATTTCCCGCACCCCTGCCCTTGTTTCCTACCATCCATGCCCCTCGTTTCCCCCCTTTGTACGTTCAGCCTCTTCCCTCCCTGCCCCTCCCCTCCTCCCCCCCTGCCCTTTGCGTTCCCCTCGCTACGCTCCCTTCTCCCCATCCCTGCTGCCCTCTTGCCACCATCAGCCCATCCGCACCACCAGCCCCCCTCCCACCCTTCTCTCCCCCCCTCCCTTTCCCTCTCTCTCTCTCTCTCTCTCTCTCTCTCTCTTTCTCACACACACACGCACACTCCCCTCCCCCACCCCCCACCCACGTCCTCCCATTCCGCCCCTCCCTGCCCCTTTCCCACCCCCTCGCACGCCCCTCACCTCCCACCTCCGTGCAACTGGTTTCCCCCCTATGGTGCCTCCCTTGCATCGCTCGCCCCTCTGCTCACCCTCTGCCCGCCCCTTTTCCGTGCCCTCAGCTGGCCCAGCCCCTGCCCGTTGCTGCCCCTCCCCTTGCCCCCTCAACTCCCCTGCCCCCCGTACACCCCAGTCCCATCCAACCGCCCCCACCCTCCCCCGGCTGCCCGTTTCCGCTCTCCACCCCCGCGACCGTGTGCGGCTTCCAACCGCCCAACGGTGGTGCGCACGGGGCGTTTCTTCGCACGGGCAAGCCTCCCCGGGGGGCCCCCACCCCGCTGAGTCGTTGTTTGGGCAAAAAAAACGAAAATAAAAAAAATCGGACGCGCTAAAATCGTCCTTTCTTTTTCCCGCTTGCCCCTCCCCCGGCACGTGCCGAGCAAGGGGCATAAATGGGTACAACACGAGGACTTCCCGGGAGGTCACCCAGCCCAGTACTGCTCTCGCCCACCGGCGCTTAGCTTCGGAGTTCTGATGGGATCCGGCGTAGTAGCCGAGGTATGATCGTACCACGTCAATCCCGTGCCCCGACCGGTACACACCCCTTGCCCGGGTCCCCCCTTCATAGTCACACCCCCTGCCTCCTCATGCCATCCGCTCCCCCCCGCCCCCACCCTCCGCGTGCCCGCTCCCTTGCCGCCTCTTTTGACCCTCCCTGCCCCCCTCGCCGTTTCCCACCGCCCGCCATTCGCTCCTCCCCGCCCGTGCGCTCCCCTCGTTTACCTTCTCCTCCCCCCTCCCCTCCTCTGCTGCACGCCTCTTCCTTCCCCTCGCCGACCCACTCCACTCCCTGCCCCTCCTCAATCCGCACCCTGCCCCTCGTATCTCGCCCCCCTATGCTTGGTTTCTCCCCTCCCTGCCCCTCGCCGCCTTTCTCCGCTCCCCACCTCCCCCCTCTCCCTGCTCCCCCACTCTCCCCCCCTTGCCCTTGGCTTCCTACCTCCCTGCCCCACCTTTCCCCCCTCCGTGTGCTCAGCTTCTCCCCTCCCTGCCCCTCCCTCCTCCCCGCCCTGCCCCTCATTTTCCGCCCCCCACGCCCGGTTTCTCCCCTCCCCGCGCCTCCCTTTCTTTCTCCGTGCCTCTCCTTTGCTCCCTCCCTGCCCCCGCCTGCCCATGCCCCTGTCTTTGGCTTCTCCCCTCCCTGCCCCACGTTTCTTCCCTCCCTGCCCCCCCTCTGCCCCTCCCTTGTTTTCCCCTCACCCATTGCTTCTCCCCTCCCTGCCCTTGATTTCCCGCACCCCTGCCCTTGTTTCCTACCATCCATGCCCCTCGTTTCCCCCCTTTGTACGTTCAGCCTCTTCCCTCCCTGCCCCTCCCCTCCTCCCCCCCTGCCCTTTGCGTTCCCCTCGCTACGCTCACCTTCTCCCCATCCCTGCTGCCCTCTTGCCACCATCAGCCCATCCGCACCACCAGCCCCCCTCCCACCCTTCTCTCCCCCCATCCCTTTCCCTCTCTCTCTCTCTCTCTCTCTCTCTCTCTTTTCTCACACACACACGCACACTCCCCTCCCCCACCCCCCACCCACGTCCTCCCATTCCGCCCCTCCCTGCCCCTTTCCCACCCCCTCGCACGCCCCTCACCTCCCACCTCCGTGCAACTGGTTTCCCCCCTATGGTGCCTCCCTTGCATCGCTCGCCCCTCTGCTCACCCTCTGCCCGCCCCTTTTCCGTGCCCTCAGCTGGCCCAGCCCCTGCCCGTTGCTGCCGTGTGCGGCTTCCAACCGCCCAACGGTGGTGCGCACGGGCGTATTCTTTCTTCGCACGGGCAAGCCTCCCCGGGGGGCCCCCACCCCGCTGAGTCGTTGTTTGGGCAAAAAAACGAAAATAAAAAAAAAAAAATCGGACGCGCTAAAATCGTCCTTTCTTTTTCCCCGCTTGCCCCTCCCCCGGCACGTGCCGAGCAAGGGGCATAAATGGGTACAACACGAGGACTTCCCGGGAGGTCACCCAGCCCAGGTACTGCTCTCGCCCACCGGCGCTTAGCTTCGGAGTTCTGATGGGATCCGGCGTAGCCGAGGTATGATCGTACCACGTCAATCCCGTGCCCCGACCGGTACACACCCCTTGCCCGGGTCCCCCCTTCATAGTCACACCCCCTGCCTCCTCATGCCATCCGCTCCCCCCCGCCCCCACCCTCCGCGTGCCCGCTCCCTTGCCGCCTCTTTTGACCCTCCCTGCCCCCCTCGCCGTTTCCCACCGCCCGCCATTCGCTCCTCCCCGCCCGTGCGCTCCCCTCGTTTACCTTCTCCTCCCCCCTTCCCTCCTCTGCTGCACGCCTCTTCCTTCCCCTCGCCGACCCACTCCACTCCCTGCCCCTCCTCAATCCGCACCCTGCCCTCGTATCTCGCCCCCTATGCTTGGTTCTCCCCTCCCTGCCCCTCGCCGCCTTTCTCCGCTCCCCACCTCCCCCCTCTCCCTGCTCCCCCACTCTCCCCCCCTTGCCCTTGGCTTCCTACCTCCCTGCCCCACCTTTCCCCCCTCCGTGTGCTCAGCTTCTCCCTCCCTGCCCCTCCCTCCTCCCCGCCCTGCCCCTCATTTTCCGCCCCCCCACGCCCGGTTTCTCCCCTCCCCGCGCCTCCCTTTCTTCTCCGTGCCTCTCCTTTGCTCCCTCCCTGCCCCCGCCTGCCCATGCCCCTGTCTTTGGCTTCTCCCCTCCCTGCCCCACGTTTCTTCCCTCCCTGCCCCCCCTCTGCCCCTCCCTTGTTTTCCCCTCACCCATTGCTTCTCCCCTCCCTGCCCTTGATTTCCCGCACCCCTGCCCTTGTTTCCTACCATCCATGCCCCTCGTTTCCCCCCTTTGTACGTTCAGCCTCTTCCCTCCCTGCCCCTCCCCTCCTCCCCCCCTGCCCTTTGCGTTCCCCTCGCTACGCTCCCTTCTCCCCATCCCTGCTGCCCTCTTGCCACCATCAGCCCATCCGCACCACCAGCCCCCCTCCCACCCTTCTCTCCCCCCCTCCCTTTCCCTCTCTCTCTCTCTCTCTCTTTCTCACACACACACGCACACTCCCCTCCCCCACCCCCCACCCACGTCCTCCCATTCCGCCCTCCCTGCCCCTTTCCCACCCCCTCGCACGCCCCTCACCTCCCACCTCCGTGCAACTGGTTTCCCCCCTATGGTGCCTCCCTTGCATCGCTCGCCCCGCTGCTCACCCTCTGCCCGCCCCTTTTCCGTGCCCTCAGCTGGCCCAGCCCCTGCCCGTTGCTGCCCCTCCCCTTGCCCCCTCAACTCCCCTGCCCCCCGTACACCCCAGTCCCATCCAACCGCCCCCACCCTCCCCCGGCTGCCCGTTTCCGCTCTCCACCCCCGCGACCGTGTGCGGCTTCCAACCGCCCAACGGTGGTGCGCACGGGCGTTTTCTTCGCAACGGGCAAGCCTCCCCGGGGGGCCCCCACCCCGCTGAGTCGTTGTTTGGGCAAAAAAACGAAAATAAAAAAAAATCGGACGCGCTAAAATCGTCCTTTCTTTTTCCCGCTTGCCCCTCCCCCGGCACGTGCCGAGCAAGGGGCATAAATGGGTACAACACGAGGACTTCCCGGAGGTCACCCAGCCCAGTACTGCTCTCGCCCACCGGCGCTTAGCTTCGGAGTTCTGATGGGATCCGGCGTAGTAGCCGAGGTATGATCGTACCACGTCAATCCGTGCCCCGACCGGTACACACCCCCTTGCCCGGGTCCCCCCTTCATAGTCACACCCCCTGCCTCCTCATGCATCCGCTCCCCCCCGCCCCCACCCTCCGCGTGCCCGCTCCCTTGCCGCCTCTTTTGACCCTCCCTGCCCCCCTCGCCGTTTCCCACCGCCCGCCATTCGCTCCTCCCCGCCCGTGCGCTCCCTCGTTTACCTTCTCCTCCCCCCTCCCTCCTCTGCTGCACGCCTCTTCCTTCCCCTCGCCGACCCACTCCACTCCCTGCCCCTCCTCAATCCGCACCCTGCCCCTCGTATCTCGCCCCCCTATGCTTGGTTTCTCCCCTCCCTGCCCCTCGCCGCCTTTCTCCGCTCCCCACCTCCCCCCTCTCCCTGCTCCCCCACTCTCCCCCCCTTGCCCTTGGCTTCCTACCTCCCTGCCCCACCTTTCCCCCCTCCGTGTGCTCAGCTTCTCCCCTCCCTGCCCCTCCCTCCTCCCCGCCCTGCCCCTCATTTTCCGCCCCCCCACGCCCGGTTTCTCCCCTCCCCGCGCCTCCCTTTCTTTCTCCGTGCCTCTCCTTTGCTCCCTCCCTGCCCCCGCCTGCCCATGCCCCTGTCTTTGGCTTCTCCCCTCCCTGCCCCACGTTTCTTCCTCCCTGCCCCCCCTCTGCCCCTCCCTTGTTTTCCCCTCACCCATTGCTTCTCCCCTCCCTGCCCTTGATTTCCCGCACCCCTGCCCTTGTTTCCTACCATCCATGCCCCTCGTTTCCCCCCTTTGTACGTTCAGCCTCTTCCCTCCCTGCCCCTCCCCTCCTCCCCCCTGCCCTTTGCGTTCCCCTCGCTACGCTCCCTTCTCCCCATCCCTGCTGCCCTCTTGCCACCATCAGCCCATCCGCACCACCAGCCCCCCTCCCACCCTTCTCTCCCCCCCTCCCTTTCCCTCTCTCTCTCTCTCTCTCTCTCTCTCTCTCTCTCTCTTCTCACACACACGCACACTCCCCTCCCCCACCCCCCCACCCACGTCCTCCCATTCCGCCCCTCCCTGCCCCTTTCCCACCCCCTCGCACGCCCCTCACCTCCCACCTCGTGCAACTGGTTTCCCCCCCTATGGTGCCTCCCTTGCATCGCTCGCCCCGCTGCTCACCCTCTGCCCGCCCCTTTCCGTGCCCTCAGCTGGCCCAGCCCTGCCCGTTGCTGCCCCTCCCCTTGCCCCCTCAACTCCCCTGCCCCCCGTACACCCCAGTCCCATCCAACCGCCCCCACCCTCCCCCGGCTGCCCGTTTCCGCTCTCCACCCCCGCGACCGTGTGCGGCTTCCAACCGCCCAACGGTGGTGCGCACGGGGCGTTTCTTCGCACGGGCAAGCCTCCCCGGGGGGCCCCCACCCCGCTGAGTCGTTGTTTGGGCAAAAAAACGAAAATAAAAAAAAAATCGGACGCGCTAAAATCGTCCTTTCTTTTCCCGCTTGCCCCTCCCCCGGCACGTGCCGAGCAAGGGGCATAAATGGGTACAACACGAGGACTTCCCGGGAGGTCACCCAGCCCAGTACTGCTCTCGCCCACCGGCGCTTAGCTTCGGAGTTCTGATGGGATCCGGCGTAGTAGCCGAGGTATGATCGTACCACGTCAATCCCGTGCCCCGACCGGTACACACCCCTTGCCCGGGTCCCCCCTTCATAGTCACACCCCCTGCCTCCTCATGCCATCCGCTCCCCCCGCCCCCACCCTCCGCGTGCCCGCTCCCTTGCCGCCTCTTTTGACCCTCCCTGCCCCCCTCGCCGTTTCCCACCGCCCGCCATTCGCTCCTCCCCGCCCGTGCGCTCCCCTCGTTTACCTTCTCCTCCCCCCTCCCCTCCTCTGCTGCACGCCTCTTCCTTCCCCTCGCCGACCCACTCCACTCCCTGCCCCTCCTCAATCCGCACCCTGCCCCTCGTATCTCGCCCCCCTATGCTTGGTTTCTCCCCTCCCTGCCCCTCGCCGCCTTTCTCCGCTCCCCACCTCCCCCCTCTCCCTGCTCCCCACTCTCCCCCCCTTGCCCTTGCTTCCTACCTCCCTGCCCCACCTTTCCCCCCTCCGTGTGCTCAGCTTCTCCCCTCCCTGCCCCTCCCTCCTCCCCGCCCTGCCCCTCATTTTCCGCCCCCCCACGCCCGGTTTCTCCCCTCCCCGCGCCTCCCTTTCTTTCTCCGTGCCTCTCCTTTGCTCCCTCCCTGCCCCCGCCTGCCCATGCCCCTGTCTTTGGCTTCTCCCCTCCCTGCCCCACGTTTCTTCCCTCCCTGCCCCCCTCTGCCCCTCCCTTGTTTTCCCCTCACCCATTGCTTCTCCCCTCCCTGCCCTTGATTTCCCGCACCCCTGCCCTTGTTTCCTACCATCCATGCCCCTCGTTTCCCCCCTTTGTACGTTCAGCCTCTTCCCTCCCTGCCCCTCCCCTCCTCCCCCCCTGCCCTTTGCGTTCCCCTCGCTACGCTCCCTTCTCCCCATCCCTGCTGCCCTCTTGCCACCATCAGCCCATCCGCACCACCAGCCCCCCTCCCACCCTTCTCTCCCCCCCTCCCTTCCCTCTCTCTCTCTCTCTCTCTCTCTCTCTCTCTCTCTCTTTCTCACACACACACGCACACTCCCCTCCCCCACCCCCCACCCACGTCCTCCCATTCCGCCCCTCCCTGCCCCTTTCCCACCCCCTCGCACGCCCCTCACCTCCCACCTCCGTGCAACTGGTTTCCCCCCTATGGTGCCTCCCTTGCATCGCTCGCCCCTCTGCTCACCCTCTGCCCGCCCCTTTTCCGTGCCCTCAGCTGGCCCAGCCCCTGCCCGTTGCTGCCCCTCCCCGTTGCCCCCTCAACTCCCCTGCTCCCCCGTACACCCCAGTCCCATCCAACCGCCCCCACCCTCCCCGGCTGCCCGTTTCCGCTCTCCACCCCCGCGACCGTGTGCGGCTTCCAACCGCCCAACGGTGGTGCGCACGGGGCGTTTCTTCGCACGGGCAAGCCTCCCCGGGGGGCCCCCACCCCGCTGAGTCGTTGTTTGGGCAAAAAAAACGAAAAATAAAAAAAAATCGGACGCGCTAAAATCGTCCTTTCTTTTTCCCGCTTGCCCCTCCCCCGGCACGTGCCGAGCAAGGGGCATAAATGGGTACAACACGAGGACTTCCCGGGAGGTCACCCAGCCAGTACTGCTCTCGCCCACCGGCGCTTAGCTTCGGAGTTCTGATGGGATCCGGCGTAGTAGCCGAGGTATGATCGTACCACGTCAATCCCGTGCCCCGACCGGTACACACCCCTTGCCCGGGTCCCCCCTTCATAGTCACACCCCCTGCCGTCCTCATAGCCATCCGCTCCCCCCCGCCCCACCCTCCGCGTGCCCGCTCCCTTGCCGCCTCTTTTGACCCTCCCTGCCCCCCCGCCGTTCCACCCCGCCCGCCATTCGCTCCTCCGCCCGTGCGCTCTCCCTCGTTTACTTCTCCTCCCCCCCTTCCCTCCTCTGCTGCACGCCTCTTCCTTCCCTCGCCGACCCACTCCACTCCCTGCCCCTCCTCAATCCGCACCCTGCCCCTCGTATCTCGCCCCCTATGCTTGGTTCTTATCCCCTCCCTGCCCCTCGCGCGCCTTTTCTCCGCTCCCACCTCCCCCCTCTCCTGCTCCCCCACTCTCCCCCCCTTGCCCTTGGCTTCCTACCTCCCTGCCCCACCCTTTCCCCCTCCGTGTGCTCAGCTTCTCACCTCCCTGCCCCTCCCTCCCTCCCCGCCCTGCCCCTCATTTTCCGCCCCCCACGCCCGGTTTCTCCCCTCCCCGCGCCTCCTTTCTTTCTCCGTGCCTCTCCTTTGCTCCCTCCCCTGCCCCCGCCTGCCCATGCCCCTGTCTTTGGCTTCTCCCCTCCCTGCCCCACGTTTCCTCCCTCCCTGCCCCCCCTCTGCCCCTCCCGTTGTTTTCCCCTCACCCATTGCTTCTCCCTCCCTGCCCTTGATTTCCCCGCACCCCTGCCCTTGTTTCCTACCATCCATGCCCCTCGTTTCCCCCCTTTGTACGTTCAGGCCATCTTCCCTCCCTGCCCCTCCCGCTCCGCCCGCCCCTGCCCTTTGCGTTCCCCTCGTTACGCTCCCTCTCCCCATCCCTGCTGCCCTCTGGGGCCACCATCAGCCCCATCCGCACCACCAGGCCCCCCCTCCGCACCCCTTCCTCTCCCTCTCCCCCCCTCCCCTTCCTCTCTCTCTCTCGTCTCTCTCTCGTCTCTCTCTCTCTCTCTCCTCTCCTCTCTCTCTTCTCATCTTTCTCACACACACACGCACACTCCCCTCCCCACCCCCCCACCCACGTCCTCCCATTCCGCCCCTCCCTGCCCCTTTCCCACCCCCTCGCACGCCCCTCACCTCCCACCTCCGTGCAACTGGTTTCCCCCCTATGGTGCCTCCCTTGCATCGCTCGCCCCGCTGCTCACCCTCTGCCCGCCCCTTTTCCGTGCCCTCAGCTGGCCCAGCCCCTGCCCGTTGCTGCCCCTCCCCTTGCCCCCTCAACTCCCCTGCCCCCCGTACACCCCAGTCCCATCCAACCGCCCCCACCCTCCCCCGGCTGCCCGTTTCCGCTCTCCACCCCCGCGACCGTGTGCGGCTTCCAACCGCCCAACGGTGGTGCGCACGGGGCGTTTCTTCGCACGGGCAAGCCTCCCCGGGGGGGCCCCCACCCCGCTGAGTCGTTGTTTGGGCAAAAAAAACGAAAATAAAAAAAAAATCGGACGCGCTAAAATCGTCCTTTCTTTTTCCCGCTTGCCCCTCCCCCGGCACGTGCCGAGCAAGGGGCATAAATGGGTACAACACGAGGACTTCCCGGGAGGTCACCCAGCCCAGTACTGCTCTCGCCCACCGGCGCTTAGCTTCGGAGTTCTGATGGGATCCGGCGTAGTAGCCGAGGTATGATCGTACCACGTCAATCCCGTGCCCCGACCGGTACACACCCCTTGCCCGGGTCCCCCCTTCATAGTCACACCCCCTGCCTCCTCATGCCATCCGCTCCCCCCCGCCCCCACCCTCCGCGTGCCCGCTCCCTTGCCGCCTCTTTTGACCCTCCCTGCCCCCCTCGCCGTTTCCCACCGCCCGCCATTCGCTCCTCCCCGCCCGTGCGCTCCCCTCGTTTACCTTCTCCTCCCCCCCTCCCTCCTCTGCTGCACGCCTCTTCCTTCCCCTCGCCGACCCACTCCACTCCCTGCCCCTCCTCAATCCGCACCCTGCCCCTCGTATCTCGCCCCCCTATGCTTGGTTTCTCCCCTCCCTGCCCCTCGCCGCCTTTCTCCGCTCCCCACCTCCCCCCTCTCCCTGCTCCCCCACTCTCCCCCCTTGCCCTTGGCTTCCTACCTCCCTGCCCCACCTTTCCCCCCTCCGTGTGCTCAGCTTCTCCCCTCCCTGCCCCTCCCTCCTCCCCGCCCTGCCCCTCATTTTCCGCCCCCCCACGCCCGGTTTCTCCCCTCCCCGCGCCTCCCTTTCTTTCTCCGTGCCTCTCCTTTGCTCCCTCCCTGCCCCGCCTGCCCATGCCCCTGTCTTTGGCTTCTCCCCTCCCTGCCCCACGTTTCTTCCCTCCCTGCCCCCCCTCTGCCCCTCCTTGTTTTCCCCTCACCCATTGCTTCTCCCCTCCCTGCCCTTGATTTCCCGCACCCCTGCCCTTGTTTCCTACCATCCATGCCCCTCGTTTCCCCCTTTGTACGTTCAGCCTCTTCCCTCCCTGCCCCTCCCCTCCTCCCCCCTGCCCTTTGCGTTCCCCTCGCTACGCTCCCTTCTCCCCATCCCTGCTGCCCTCTTGCCACCATCAGCCCATCCGCACCACCAGCCCCCCTCCCACCCTTCTCTCCCCCCCTCCCTTCCCTCTCTCTCTCTCTCTCTCTCTCTTTCTCACACACACACGCACACTCCCCTCCCCCACCCCCCACCCACGTCCTCCCATTCCGCCCCTCCCTGCCCCTTTCCCACCCCCTCGCACGCCCCTCACCTCCCACCTCCGTGCAACTGGTTTCCCCCCTATGGTGCCTCCCTTGCATCGCTCGCCCCTTGCTCACCCTCTGCCCGCCCCTTTTCCGTGCCCTCAGCTGGCCCAGCCCCTGCCCGTTGCTGCCCCTCCCTTGCCCCCTCAACTCCCCTGCCCCCCGTACACCCCAGTCCCATCCAACCGCCCCCACCCTCCCCCGGCTGCCCGTTTCCGCT